AAACAATAAAAGCATTAGTTTTAATTAGGAGATGGATATGGTGAACCCAGTGAGATTGCAATTATCAAGCAATGTAGAACATCCAGAGCATTATAAGAATACATTATTCACTAATTAAGTTCCCTTTATTCTGTTTTCTTTAATTTATTCTTTAAGCTAAAGCATCCTTTTCAAGAACAGCAGAAGGAATTCTGGTTACATCTGGTTTCTTGGTGGTGCTTGGTGGTTTCCTGGCTTTCTTTCTTTACAAGTAAGTTGCTTGGTCTAGTCATTAACATGGATCAGACCATTGGTTTAATGATTTATAAATTTTTCAAACTGATATAATACTGATATAAAAATTTGCAATAGAAGGTAGATTCTATTTACCCATAGAAAAAAGCAAAAACCCACTAGCTTTCCCTCTCTATCTGACTCACTCCTGAGATATAAAACACACCAACCCATTACCTCCCTAGTGTTATTTTTCTTTTATATTCTGTTTTTATTTTCAGATTGCTTTTTAAATTATTCATAGAAGCTTCCAAATATTACTGGACAGAGTATACAATATATCTATGATTGTCAAGAATAATGTCAAAACTCGTCTATCTTCTTTTTCTGCAAAGGGCTGAGGCAACTGCACTTGGTGTGCTACTGAGGGATGGAAAATAATAATCCAAACAGCATAGAGATCCCTTAATCATTAGAGGAGAATATTTGTAGTTCAGAGTTGAATTGTGGGGCCCTTAGTGCCCTCCAAGTTTGGTTGCTTTCTTGCCGACATTTCATTACCCAACTAGGTAATATCAACACTATTAAAAGGAAGTGGGGTTTACTTCATGTTCTTTACAAGTAGTAAACAACAATCCAATCAAGGAACTACCAAGAACATTCCCACCAATACTAACAGAGTAAGCCACTTGTATATAGAGATCAAACAGAGAGCCAACTCTGCTTCCATTCAGCCATAATGATGTTACTTAGTTGGAAAATAAAATGTTTGCAAGAAAACCACCAAGCTCAGAGAATATCAATGCCCCAATGTCAGAAGGGAAAGACAATTGGAACCATAGTTCCTGCCTATAAGTTTGAATCTGAAGCTGCAATATCCCATTGTCTCTGCTTTTTAAAAGGTTTCAGAACAAGAATATACCTCGCAATAACATAGTATTTTTTCTTTATGAAAGAACTCTGAAAACATTTACCTACTACTGTAGTATATTCCATTAGTGATGCAGTACATTTCTACAAGCACAAAATAGGTTATTTTCTTCTTTGTGTCTCTCTCCTTTAACCCTATTATATATTATCAAGAACTGTTATCTAGAGCTGTATTAAAAGCTTTTTTCCCAGTGATTTTTTTCACAAATATACATGTGCAATAACAATTTACAGAGAAAAATAATGCAACCCAGGAATTGTGGGTTTTGTTCATACAATAGGAAAAACTTTTAATAACTTGATCTTTACATTTTTTTAGGAGATATAAAGAATATAAACCTATTGAAAGAAAATCAGGCCAAGGGAAATCCAGCGAGGGACTAAGTGTTTACTTCAATAATGTCAAGGCTGTTCTTTTCCCAAGAGGCAATGAGAGAGACCCTTTGTTGAAAAGCAAGCTGGGAATTATCTAATTCTTCAGGTTAACATTTTAAAATCGCATGCTGAAATTTCAAACTTTACACTCAACTGTAATTCACTGTAGGAATGCCTTAAAAAGGGAGGAAAGATGGCATACTTGCATTACATACAAAATAAAAGCTATTATTCAAATCACTTGAAATTATAAAATAACAGAACATGGAGAAAATGTAATATTTTAGTTGCTTATCTTGGATGTGCTATAATGTATCAATTAATGAACCATTTATATTGGGTATTATATTCAGTATCTTAGATTATTGCAGAGATTTGTCTAGGCAGTCACTGCGAGTCAATACTGCATGAAAAGCATAAATAAATGAATAAATAAAATCATTTACTCCTGAGATTCAATAAATGTCTGCTTGGCTGAGCATTTTTCTTTTACTAAGCAATTTAAACTTGCAGTGAATTCTACTGAATTTAAAGGAAATTATTTCTGTGCAAGCATGCTAGGATCATGCTTCAATCCAAAGTTCCTTCATCTTGTATACTCAGTCAGCTTCTAGTTAACAAGTTTGAAAATTAGTTTGAAAATTACAGGCAGTGCTCGACTTACAACAGGTCATTTAATGACCATTCAAAGTTACACTGAAAAAAGTGACTTATGACCATTTTTCATGCTTAGGACCACTGTAGCATCCCATGGTCAATTGATCAAAATTCAGATGCTTGGCAACTGACTCATAGTTATGACAGTTGCAGTGTCTGGGGGTCACGTGATCCCATGGTGATTTTGCAATCTTCTGACAAGCAAAATCAATGGGAAAGTCAAATTCACTTAACAACTAAATTACTAATTGAACAATGCAGTGATCCACTTAATAACTGTGGCAAAAAAGTTGTAAAAGGGGGCAAAACTCATTTAACAACTGTCTAACTTAGCAACAGAAATTTTGGGCTTAATTGTGATGATAAGTTGAGGACTACCTGATTATTAGCTGGATGCTTTGGATATCCCTTACTGTTTAATTAATACACAGTTTAAACATAGCTTGGAGAACAAGTTGAAGGTGTATAATTTTTGGTTCTCTTTTTTGTTTTTTTAAATTCAATCTAGTGCATTAGAAGGGAATTTCTTGTATACTAAGAGGAGGAGAAAATGGCTATGTCTAGCAATAGCTAGACATACTTCCTCAATATGTATCTTTTTAGAACTGTTCTGAAAGATTAGGTGGACTCAGATTCTCACAATTGTGGGAGAAAAGACTTCTGGAGGGAACTTGTGAATTTATTTTTCTCCTGATGTTGATTTATGCATTTTCTGTCCCTTCTTACTTGGCCCTTGAGATACAAATTGAAATCTGTTTTCTCTACTAAAGGAGGATATCTCCAAAATTTATTATAGGTGTGAAAACGCAGGTCAATAACACAAAGACAGGTTCAGTAACACTTCATGGCAAGACCTGAAAAACAAAGAAAATAGAATGTATTTATTTTCAAGCAATGAATTAAAAACATGATTGATTACAAAGCCTACTTATATTTGCTGTTACAGGTTAAACTCTTACTGTACTCAAAAGCTTCATGCTAAAACATTTATTAATATTGAAATTGCTTAAATTCTTCCATACTATCTATCTATTCATCTGTGACTATCCAACACTTTCCCCAATAAAATACAGTATTATCTTAGTCAATGCTTTTTTTGTTAAAAAAAAAAAAAGGTGCTGGAACTCACACACATCATACAACCCGCCTGGCTTACCCTACAAGGTTCCATCCAAAAAAGGTGCCAGAACTCCATTCTGGGCATTCTATGACAAAAAAAGCCCTGATCTTAGTATGATGTTGTCCTGCACTATTTTATGATCTGGCTTGAACAGCAGGTTAAGCCATTTACAAACCCAATGATTGGATTCACAGATCTCATCAAACAAGTGCGCAAAGGAATGCACTTTTACTCAGGTGAATCCTAGCACAAAAGAATACTTGCTATTCCGGTTTATACTAGACATATTAGAAAACATAATACAGGTAGTCCTCAATTTACAACAGTTTGTTTAGTGACTACTCAAAATTACAATGGCACTGAAAAAAAAATGACATGAGAATTTTTCATACTTATGAAAGGCCACGTGATCAAAATTCAAATGCTTGGCAACTGATTCATATGTATGACAGTTGCAGGGTGCTGAGGTCATGAGATCACAATTGGCAGTCTTCTGACAAGCAAAGTCAATGGGGAAGCCAGATTCACTTAACAACTGCGTTACTAATTTAACAACTGAAGAGATTCACTTAATCGTGGCAAAAAATGTTGTAAAATGGGGCAAAACTCACTTAACAAATGTCTCACTTAGCAACAAAAATGTTGGGCTTAATTGTGGTCATACGTTGAGAACGACCTGTAACTTATTTGTTTGGCATGAAAAATGGCGCTCATACTGTTGATCTGTATAGATAATATGGATCTTTCAATAAGCACAGTGCTTGGTGTCCAAACTTTGACTCAGGAAGAAAGATATATTTTATTTTGATTTTCAGCTATGTTCAGGATGGGGCTCATGTGACTTTGTATTCGAAGTGGACCTTTTGTGAGCAATATAGAACTTCATGGCATGCATGGATCTGAAGCAAGGGGATTTTTCCTTTGACAGACATGAATTATATGTGGAGAATGATGCACATATGTTAATATTTGTATCACTTCTCCATACATGAATGAGCATGCAAGAGGATTTGGTCCTGCCTACCTCAAAAGCCAAACCCCCTTCACTGACAACCCCAGACTTTTAACATCTCACCCCTTGGGGTCAAAAGAATTAGCAAGCACCCACTACTGATCTAGAGTTCTGATCTGGAATAAATGACTTGTCTACACGCATAAGCTGTGCAGATTTTGCTACATTTATTTTGTACATTTGTAAATAAACACAACTCTTGCAAATCAGTGAATTTCAAAAAGAAAGCTAAGGCTGGACAAATGCTATGGATTATCAGAGATTGGTATTGAAAATGTGAAGGTATCTCTTATCCTACAGAATTCCAAAAGAATAATTTAAAAATTCTAACGTTATGTAGCACTTGGAAGCAGCTGATGCACCTATCCAGGCTTCCATCTTAAACTGTAATTTCACCTTCCTTTCTGAAACATATGACATTCCAATGATCAAAAATCATCAGAGTCGATAACAGCAAAGTTGGCTCCCAGGAACAAATTCACTACGAAGGCTGCAATGTATCGGCTGCAAATGCAAAGATGACCAATAGACGGCAGTAAAGGGATTGTCTTGGTCTTTGTGAAGCCCAGATATACTGGCCCTGAATTTAATAAAATACTCCGAAGCCCTTTCCATCCTTAACCAAACAGCGCCTGCGCCAGCAGTCCTGCCTATCACGTGAGAAACACAGCCAATCCCTAAAAGCTATTGAATATACACCCTCCAATTAGGGAGGAGAGGGAGTTTCCTAGCTAGATTCCCCTTTGGGACCGTTTTGTTGCCCCTTTAGGATTTTTTCCCCTGTGGAATCGCAAGGTGCCATGTGGCGAGGAGGCCTCTGTCTGCGGCTGTTGCAGACTCTGAAGTCTCCGGGAAGCGTTGCTGCGACCGGAAGCGCCAAAGATGCCCAAGGATGGGTTGATGCCATGACCCGAAGGGCCGCAGCGGCTTCCGTCTTTCCTTCGTGGATGTCCCGGGTAGGATTACGAACGTTTAGCACCGTAGGGAAATCTGAGCTGTGGGATAGAGAAGAAGGCGCCGGAGCGGAGTTTCAAAACTTGCAAGAAGCGGATAGAGATGGGCAGGAATCGAGCATCAGTTCAGGTATCGATGGAGCTGGGAGTCGTTCGGTGAAGAAATGTCGCAGCCAAGTCGACCTTGCGTTCCGTTTAGTGGCAAGGCTTTAATAGCCTCACTGTACGGCAGAGGCAGCTGGCTTGACGATTAGGCAACCGATATATTTATTTTCTCCTCACGGCTCTGGGAGAGGTAAATCAGTGGAAATATAACTATTTTGCGCGATAACGGCGGTCCTGACTTGTAGTTAAACCGACAGATCCTTAAATCCTGATGATCAGCCCAGAGAATACTTTATGTGTACAAAGGTGGAAAAGGTGGCTTGCAGAGGGCAGGGTCACTGGGTAATAACAACACAGAGATGGTGCTGCCAATCATTAAGTGGAAACAGGAGCGGTAGACATGTAGGCATCTACCTGAGGTCAGTTCCACTCCTGCCAATACTGGATGACAACAAATTATGATTTTACATGCCTTTGTAGTTTTTAGAAAATTGGATGTTCATTCTAGGTGTAACAAAGGAAACTGTGGAGAGAGAGGTCAAGAACTGCTTCTTCTACCTGTTCAGTTCTAGTTCAAGATCTTTCACCTCTTACCTTTCTGCATAATTTACATTTTAATCATTTAAGCATTGTCTCTTTCAGATCCTGTTCCTTCAGTATTCAGCATTGATGATATGATATCACTTATGAGACAAGAAAATGCCAAAGATATTTGTGTTATCAATTTGCCTCCAGAAATAAAATACAGCAATTATTTTATAATTTCCAGTGGATCTTCTACAAGACATCTTCATGCCATGGCACAATATTTGGTAAAAATGGTACGGCATTTTTATTCTTTTAGAGATATGGAAGGATTTTTACAAGCTACAATTAAATGACCAGTTAAAGGATGGAGAGAGGTAGATACTGCAATATGAGTGCTGACTATATTGAAGCAGATAGTATTTCTAAGCTGCAACTAAAGAAGGATTAGCTTTGACAGCTTGGGAAATAAAGCCTGTCATATGAATGTTTATAAATATTAAGTATAATGCAGAATTTTTTTTCAGCAGCTACATGTTTCATATTTACAGAAACGGCTTTGATTTTTTACTGCATTTCTACAATAGCAAGGTCTTTTTTGTGGTATAAGCCAATATGTACCCTGCCTCATAATTTAAGACAGGTGTAGCTCTAGACAGCTGGTAATGCAGCCCCCGCAAGAACTCTCCCAGAGGAAGTTTAATATTTATATACGGTACATTAACTATATTATATATCTTATGTGTGGTCCAAGACAATTCCTCAATGTGGCCCAAGTGAGTCAAAAGTTGGACGTGCCTGAATTAAGATATCTTCCTAATGTAACAATGTATGTTATTGTGTGGTGGTGATTATCATTTGCTGAATTTTAAAAGATATTTCATATTAATTGGCAGCATATTTCACCTGTATAACTAATATCAAATTCAGTAAGTTTTAAGAAATGCAGAAACATAGTGTTAATTGTGGCCAACTCCACATGTTGAAAATAGCAATGCATGAAGATATTTAACTCAAAATCAAGTTTGAATATTTTGCTAATATATTATTAAATCCAGATTAAATCAAACTTCAAATAGAAACATTGTTATCAGTGTGCCCTGAGTATTCATGATTAAAAAATCTCATTGATTTGGATCAGGGCTTTCGTCTAGAGCAGGGGTAGGTAACCTTGGCTCTTTTATGACTTGTGGACTTCAACTCCCAGAATTCCTGAGCCAGCCATGCTGAGGGGAAAGGGAGAGGTTTCCAAGCTGAGCCATGCTGGCTCAGGAATTCTGGGAGTTGAAGTCCACGAGTCATAAAAGAGCCAAGGTTGCCTACACCTGGTCTAGGGCTAGAAAATTGTGGCATTCAATCAACCTTTTCATATTACATTGTAACTAAAATGCATCCTTTCAGGGAGGATGTTTAGTGCAGTGGTTAAGGCACCAGACTAGAATGTTGTAGTTGTAGTTGTAGTTCCATCTTAGGCCTAAAGCCAACTGTGACAGTAGGCAGTCACACATTCTCAATCCTGTGAAGGAGGCAATGACAAACAATTTCCAAAATCTTGCCATAAAGGAATTGCAGGGACTTGTCCAGTCAGTTGCTAGGAGTAAGTATTGACTTGAAGGTACTAAAAGACAAAGAAAAGCAAATCCTACCTTCCTAGGATGTGACACTTGTTAAAGAAGTTGGACTTTACATAGTAATCCTATGCTCACTGGGATAGAAGTTTTATTTAATCAGTAGGGCCTATTTCTACATAACGAGATATAAATGCAGGATCAACTGAACAGTTTAAATGCTTGTAGAAGATCTATATTCTGTTAAAAAGGATCTCATTGTGGCAATGATTCATTAGAATTTTCAGTCAGTAAGCCTGGAGCTGGAAAATCATTTAGATCCTCAGTATCCTTACCTACCAGCATTGATGAATCCCACTCTGCAGAGGCGTTACTGATTATCCATACATGAATTTGCTAATTCATAAGAGCAAATTCTCTGGCTAGGTTTACTCCAGTTTTATTTATTGTAAACATACGGTGAAACCTATTGACCAGTCATGTGATGACTTCATCATAGGGCTTTCAGTTGAGATAATTGAGCCATTGTCTAAAGAGTTAGACGAAGGTCTTGTTGGAGGGGGAAATATCTGTGATATTTATTTATTTATTATTTATTTATTATTTGTAATCTACTATTCCAGTCTTCCAGTCTTTCTAATCAACCATAGCCACTTCTTGTAAGGACAATTTTTTAGTGTTTAAGTAATAAGATTAGTAATAGTCCTCTACTTGTTATGTTCTCAAACATTCTTCCATCTACCTACAGTAAATACTCTCAATTTTACTAACTGACTGCCTGTATTATAGTTGGGAGAACTAAAATTAGTTTTATGAGATAAAATGCTTGGAGTTCCAGCTTCGTTTTATATTTTGTTATCAGCATACAGTGCTTCTGCTGTAAACATCTTATCACAGTTAAACCACAGCTGATATTGATGCTGTGTGCTTCAATTAAGAAACTTCCCATCCAATATTTATAAAATAAACCTTAAAATTATCGCATAGAGCTTGCATACGTGCAGCCTGCTGTATCACAATCTCGCCAGAAATCCCAACAGTTTAAATGAACTCTATTAATTGTTAATATACACAAAGATATTCACAGGAAATAATCTATATCTTTATTTGTACTTGTCTTCCAGTACAAGCATAAGAAGAACGATACTGATCCTCATGTTGTGATAGAAGGAAAAGAGACTGATGACTGGCTATGCATTGATTTTGGTAAATATTGTTATTACTGGTAAAGTAGAGATTGCAAGTGATTTTATTCACATTCATTCATTCATTTCTACCCAACTCAAATCAACTGATTCTGGGTGAAGACAGTAATAAAATAAAAGAATGTAATTATTCTAAGTTAATTATTTAACAATGTTTTTATTGTTGTAATTGTTTTAAAACAATAAAAACATTCACAACTTAAAAAATACAAACAGCAGCTATGATGATTAACCAGCTAATAGTAAAGCCAAGCAGCAGATCCTTAATCCATTCTGAGCTTCATGCCCAGATACACAGCCAAGTTTTTAAAGTTTTGCAGAAAACCAACAGGGTTGGGGCCTTTCTAATCTCTGAGTGCAAAATATTCCAGAAGGCAGAGGCTACAGCAGGAAAGGCCTTCTTCTGGCTCCCACCAATTGACATTCTTTGGCTGATGGGATCAGCATACCCAATCTGTTGGATCGGATTGGATGGGCACAAAATCTCTTGGAAAAAGACAATCCCTCGGGGTAACTCTGTCCCAAGCCATGTAGGGATTTAAAGGTGACAATCAGCACCTTGTATTGCACCTGGAAATACACCCGCAGCCAGTACAGCTCATAGTAATGTTACATGTGCCAACACCATTTATTACCTGTACAGCTGCATTGTGCACCAGTTGAAGTTTCTAAACGTTCTTCAAGAGCAGCCCCATGTAGAGCACATCACAGTAATCTAAACAAGAGGTTACCAGGGCATGAATGAGCAGGGCCTCCTGGTCCAGGAATGGGTGCAACCTGAATGTGTGCAAATGCTTTCCTAGTCACAGCTGCAATCTGCTCTTCAAAGAGCTGCGAGTCTAGGAGGACTCTCAGATTGCTTACAGGATCTGTCTGGGCTGGTGTCACCCCATCCAGAACTAAAGATGGAAGAACCTTGTCACCGGAAGGTCCAAATGCCCACAACCATTCCATTTTGCTAGGGTTGGCACGGAGCCTGTTTCCCCTATCTAGACCCAAATAGCCTCCAGACACAGCACAGCAGCATTCAAGGGGCATGGAACAAAGATATAAACCTAGGTGCCTTCCACATGTTGATGATATCTCACCTAAACCACCTTACCCAGTGGCTTCATGCAAATGTTTAATAAGAGAGGAGGGATAACTGAGCCCTGAAGCACCCCACAAAATAGAGGCTACAGCCTTGATCTCCTGCTTATCAACACTGACTGAAACTGACCCTGGGGGAAGGAGGAGAACTAGCACAATGTAGTCTCACCCCCAATTCCTGGAGCTAGTCCAGAAGGATACCATGATCAATGATATATGCCACTGACAGATCAAGAAGAGCCAAGATAGTTAACACTACCTCTGTCCCTCTCCCACCTAAGGTCATCCATGAATGTGATCAGTGTCATCTCAGTCCCAAACCCTGGCCTGAAAGAGTTCTAGATAATCTGCTTTATCCAAGGTTCTCTGCAGCAGCCACATGACCATTCTTTCCATTATTTTCCCTAAGGAGGGAAGATTAGATATTGGGTGAAACTGCCCAGCTTATTGGGTTGAGCAGTGGTCCTTTGAAAAGGGGTACTACCACCTCTAAGAGCTGGTGGGACCACTCTTTCAAGGAGGAATTAATTACCCCCCCCCCCAATCCTACATATACTCTTTAATAAAATGAAAAGCATGTGAATTTAATACAAAAATAGCTATACTAGCAGCTGAAAGAACCTTGGGCTCAAACTTCCCAGGGCAACTGGCAGGACATAGCCCCCATCTCTTCCACAGATCCTACTTTAATTATGAAAAGGAAATATGTGTGACTTTGTCCGCTACATGCATCATATTCCTCGCAGTGACTTGTTAGGTGAATTTTGGTATTCCCTCCAAGTCATTCAAACAGGGCCACTGAGCAATTATTGGCAGACGCAATAAGGGCAGAGAAATAATTATACTTCTTCACTCTTATCACCACATGGTAGGCCTTAATAGCAGTTCTAGCTTATGTCCGGTCATCTTCTCTTCTTGTTTTTTTTTTGCCAAAAGTGCTCTAATTGTCAGTCTATTTAAGATCACTCGATTCCATCATGTACATTGGAGAGCATCGGGAATCCTGGGTACAGTGTAGAGCAGTGGTGGCAAGCCTATGGCACATGTGCCAGAGGTGGCACTTAGAGCCCTCTCTGTGGGCATGCACGTCGTCACCCTAGCCCCACCCCCCCATGGCCCCCTTACCAGCAGCCCCCCCCCAGAGTCGCCCCGAGCGCAGCCCACGCGGAACAGTACAGCCAAGGACATAGCAGCCAGGCAGCAAGGACAAGACTCCGCCCTTGTGCCCCATCACACGCAGTTGATGCTGTGGGGCACGGGTGAACGGAGCTACTGGGCCGCCTGGGCAGTCTGCGGCGGGTTATGAGGTGGTGGGTGGCCCTGCAGGAGGCGGGATGGGGTGGGGCCAGGTTTGGGGCACTCGGTTCGCCATCACTGGTGTAGAGGTTACTTAGGCACAGTCTGATCTACTCTTTGCTGTTCAATGCAACCACTGATGTTCTCAGTTGAACAAAAAAATCAGGTTACATGTGATTGAGTTTACAAACTGAGAATGCTTCACCTCCCAGAGATTTTGTACTTCTACTCCATTCTTATTTTCCATCATTTACCTCACTTCCAGTGTTTCAGACTTATGCTTTGGAAACCATTATACAGGGTTTCAAAGGGTATGGGTTGCCCATGCTTGCCATAATGACAAACTACATTTGAGTTTGCATACTAGCATATTACCTTTGAACTCAGAGATTGATTGACCCAAGACATATATGTGAAGTAATTTCTTGCAATGTGGATTCAGAGGTGTGATTATTGATCAAAAACCTCTTTCTGCTTAATGTAATTTGCAACATAATTGGTCACAGGTTTCAATTTTCTTTCAAATGACTGAATCATTTCTCATCAAGTATTATAATTAACATAAAATTAATGAAATCCCTTGAAATAATGGATAACATTTTTATATTAAACTTCCCAATCTATTACGAAAATCTGAAATTATAAAAAAACCATCTTGTGATTTTAATAGTCCTCTTGGAACTGCTTGCGATTTCAGGTATTTTTGATTTACTTTGAATGTCATCAGGAACTCATCATAATTATAATCCATAGATTATACTTCCCCCTAAAATGATTTGGTACTAATTATAGCCCTTCTGGATTTTGTTGAGTGGTTCCAATTACTATCTCTAATCCACTATCTATGTATTAATTGATTTACTTAGCAGTTTTTACAAAAATTGACAAATCAATCTGATAATTTTGTGACTGCTGCTGCTGCTTTATTGCTTATGTGAACAGAACATAAATTGTTGTTAGCTGTCTGGTTTATTGCAGAGATGTGGACATGGATATGGATTTAAAAGCTTCTTTGCCATCAGTTGAATGCCTACATGTATTTGCACATAAATGCACAGACAATTTTAAACCAGGATTCATCTGAAAAGGCAATTGTTTCTTCTAATAGATTTTGGGATGATTTCTGGATTCTAATAAAAAAAATTGATCATGTGAATAACCTGCTCTACTCTTAATAAAAACCTTGTTTTAATCTTCAAGTGACAACCAAACAAGATTCTCCTGGTTCTTGTATACAAGCCTGTCACACGAGCCTCTATAAATCTGTCACTTAGTACAGTGGTGCTTAAGTTTGTGAATACTTTTGAATTTTCATAAATATGACCTAAAATGTAATTTGTTTTCCACACAAAACATTTTTATGTATTTATTGAGGAAAATTATTCAAAGCTACATATTTATGACTGCAGTTGGGAATTTTTATTTATGTTGTAATAATCGTGGATTGAGGCACTCATATGACGAGACCCAATTTTTTACGCCAGTTGTTACGTGAATAAATCCGAATCCAATATTTTGCTGTAAACTGGCAAAAAAAAGGGGCTACAAATTGCAGTTACATGAAGTGAGACACTGCAGTCAGTCATAAATGTGAGCCAGTTACCAAACTGAAAACTTGGCTAGATGGCTGTGGAGGGGAGAGGGGCCACATTTTACAATAGTCAGAATTGCTTTATAGGCTGTTGTAAATTTCAGCAGTGGTTAAATGGTCAGTTATGAGGACTACCTTTATTAGTGTGTGGCAAAACAGAAGACAGCAAAGGTCAGCTGTGGGCGGAGATACTTGGCAGAGTTCAGGGGGGGGGGAGAACTAGGTGGGTGAAGCATGGTGGGGCAGAGAAAGCATGAGATCCTCCTGTAATGATGGTTCTGTCCTGGTCTAACAGCTGTAATTGGTACTACTAGAACTTTCATTTCTAAGAGATACAGTTGTGCGATGTTTTATCTAGCAAGTGCATTGCTTAGTGATAGGAAGTTCCAGTCCCAATTGTGGTTGTAAATCAAGGTTATACTTGCTCTAATATGGTCTGACTTTTAAGATCATGAAACCTAATTTAACATGACTGGCACATATAGAAGCTCCAGGGTTTACCATTCCTGCTTACTTGGACTGCCACATTATGGAAGGCATTTAACCTGAGGTGGGTAAGAAGAGTCTGATGTACTAATCTCATTCTTCACTTACTGTGCTGCCCCATCTTCTTGCAGGCAACATCGTAGTCCATTTCATGTTGCCAGAGACACGAGAAATCTACGAGTTGGAAAAGTTGTGGACACTCCGCTCTCATGATGATCAGTTGACACAGATGGTTCCAGAATCTTTACCTGATGACTTTGTGTTTGAGCTAGATTCGAAACAGCAGTGATTCAACCTCATATCAAAGGATCAGAAAGAACTTTGCCCAGTGGCTCGCAGTGGTCCACTTGAGTCACTGAGCCAATTCTTGGGAAGATAAAGACTAAATGAAGCACATCAAGTGTCAGCATTAGGCAGTATTGATAAGTACAGGTAGTCCTTGACTTAGAACCATTCATTTAGTGACAAACGGAACTTTGAAAAGTGACTTACAACTGTTTTTCACAACTGTTGCAGCATCCCCATGGTCACAGGAACAAAATTTGAATGCGTGGCAATTCATTTGGGTTTGACGGTTGCAATGTCCCAGGATCATGTGATCATCTTTTGCAACCTTCTGACAAGCAAAGTTAATGGGGAAGCCAGATTCACGTAAAAACCCTGTTACTAACTTAACTACTGCAGTGATTCCCTTAACAACAGCAGCAGGAAAGGTCATAACATGGAGCAAGATTTACTTAACTGTCTCACTTAGCAACAGAAATTTTGGACTCAGTTGTGGTTCATTAAGTAGAAGGCTACCTATATAGAACTTATCAATGGGAAGTCAGTAATGGCCCGTGGGAAAGACATTGGCTCTTGTTGGAACGGCAAAGCTTTTGACATGTGGATAATAGCTATTTGAAATAATTCCTGTCGACATTTGGGTCTTTTGGATAGTGGCTTGTTGTGACATTGACTGCAGTGCTACCTATGTCATCAGTCGAATAAAGTTTTTTTGAAATGTTTTTAAATTATTCTCATAACTTTATTTTGGTGTATTTTTTTCTAATGTCTGCTGTTAGTTACCCCATAAAATTTGATAGGTTCCAATAATAAAAACTCAGTATAGAGAGAATTTACTTTGAACTGGTATCATGTTGAAATTCAAGGTAAAATGGTTGCAGATGTAATGGTTTACTCAGTTTGATGCAAGACGTAATGAGGATAGAAGGCAGCCATGGCATTAATATCAACTAGATTTTCCACAAAATAATCTTGATTTTTAAATTATCTCTAATTTTCCTCAAATAATTGGCAATAGGATACTATTCCATCAAATTGAAAAATTGCATTTAAGAGTGATTTTGAATTAACTGCTTCTTTTCCCTATTCAAATGACAAACAGGGCTTCAGCAGAAATCTTTGCAGAGCTATCAGAAGATGTTTACGTTCTTAATGTAGGCAAGAAAAACCAATGCACAGGTATAATATGGTTCCTGGCTCAATAGTAGTAACTATAAGAGGAATCTTGGAGACCCAGTGGACAGTCACTTACATATGAGCCAGCAGTGTGCTACAGCTGTTAAAGAAGCCAATGCAGTCCTAAGCTGCATTAACGGTTAGAATCAAGATCATGTGAATGTTAATGCCACTATATACTGCCTTGGTAAGACTACACTTGGAATACTGCATCCAGTTTTGGTCACCATATTATAAAAAAGATGTTGAGACTCTGGAAAGAGTACAGAAAAAAGCAACAAAGATGAATAGGGATTGGAGGCTAGAACAAAGAACAGTTGCTGGAATTGGGTATAGTTTAATGACAAGGAGGACTAGTAAGAATGACATGATAGCAGTGTCCCAATATCTAAGGGGCTGCCATAAAGAGGGAGTCAAGCTATTTTCCAAAACACCTGAAGGCAGGGCAAGAAGCAATTGATGGAAACTAATCCAAGAGAGAAGCAACCTGGAACTAAAGAAAAAATTCCTGGCAGTTAGAACAATTGTTCAGTGGAACAACCTGCCTCCAGAAGTTGTGTCTACTGCAACACTGGGAGGTTTTAGGAGTTTGGACAACCATTTGTCTGAAAGTTTATCCTGCCTGAGCAGGAAGTTGGATTAGAAGACCTCCAAGGTCCCTTCCAGCTCTGATATTCTGTTATAGCATTTAAATTGACCCTAAATTTTTAATTATGTGAAAACTAAATCTGATAATCATAGGAAATTATTTTTAGACTTTGCTTTGGAGTGAACATATCAGGGCTTACACTAGCCCAATCACCATACACAAAACTAAAAAGCTTAGTTAACAATCTTTTAGCTATTACCACCATTCACATATGCTGAAAAACCTTTACATTAATTTACAAGCTGTGTTCATGCAACAGAATAATTACAAGGATGTAAGCAAAGTTGTATTTTAACTCCCTTTCATTTTAATTTTTGCACCAATGCTGTGGCAACAAGATTTTAAAAATTAGAAGATCTCTATCCAAACCTGACTTGTAGACTATTGTACTACTCCTACATTATGTAATGTAAGTAGGCTTATTATAAGTACCCCTTTGTTCAGCATCATCACAACTCTGAATGGTTGCTAAATGAGCAGATGTTAAATGAGAAATACCTGTAAGAATAAAGTCAAACAAATTCAGGCCCTCTATACTTGGGAATTGTTTTCCATGCCACTGGCTTATGGAGCCCCAAATTCAATCACCAAGAGATCAGAAGTATATCCACAATCTGGTTGGTTTTTTAAATTTGTTTTTGCATAGAAGGTAATTATATGGTGGACTAAAAATGTTCTGATTTCAAAATAATGTCACAAACATTTTATGACTCCCAAATGTGTGCATATAATTTAAAACCATTTGAAGTTGTTCAGTCAGGCTTCTTAAGGAACTTGTTTTTGTTTTTTATTGTTTCTCACTCAGTCTTTTAGGCTGAGGCTGGAATAGTTACAATTTAAATCTGTACCAAACACTCATTAGCTACTGGTTCAAGCTAATCTTTAACCAAAAATATCTGGCTTTTTTTAAAAAAAAGACAAATTTTAGACTTCCTTACAAAAACTGCTTAGTGTCATCGTAAAGAATTGTGGAGTTTCTCTCATGTATGGATTCCAATTGAATTTCATCAGGCTAAGGTATTTTCATGAGAGCCAATTATTGCCTAGAAAGCAATCCCATCCAGGTGCCACTATATATTATTCCACTCAATGCAGAAAAAAATAGTGCACTTACCCATTATCAGTACATTATTACTCTTAAAAAACATTGGAAGAGCTTTTATGTTTACCTGCTATAATGCCCTCCCACCATTTTGAAGAGAAGACTCTGAAACCTAGCAATTCTGCCCTTGCGATGAGGGGAAAATTGAAACTTTGGGACTTGTGGTTATGCTGCCATTTTAATAGGGCCCTCCAAGATACATATATTTTCCTCTTCATAAAACAATACCTATGTAGGACATAGACTGGATTATCTTATCTGCTGCTAGGAAACCAGAACATGGGGATTTCAGGCAGTGTTCCCCAGTTCAGAATTCAAGCTATGACTGAATGCAAATGACTTTTGCCCAGAAGCGATACTGAATCCGAAGTTACCATATTCGGTAATTCATTTTTTTTTTCTTTCTAAAAAATATCATTCCAAATAATTCTAGATTTTACAGGTTGTCCTCCCTGAGCAACAATTTGGACTGGCAACTCAACAAAATTTGGTAATTGAAACCAGGTAGTTATGATCTTACTTTACCATTCCTTTGTTTCACAGGCCTACTTAGATCATAAAAGCAAAGACAGGGCATAAAATTATTTTTTATCACTGGTCATAATTGTGGTCACTAAATAAGGCAGACATTAAATAAGAAAAATCTGTATTATCTTGTTCTAGTTGGTTGGATTACAGTTGTAATAATCCCAATCAAATCCTAATTACAGCAGATACGACCTTTTCAAATTAGCCTAGTTTTAAATTATTATGTCTAGTATGTTTATGTATTTATAATCAGTTACTACTTTAACTATGATATTTTACTATAGATTTTAATTATATTTTTTTCTCTAGTATTGTATATTTTGTAATTCTATTCCAGTAGTTTATCTTATTAATATTATATTTTACTTCTTTGCATTTTTTTTAAAGTATGTTTTATGCTGGTCTATGACTGAAATAAAAACAAACATACTAAATCAAATGGAGCTACCTTGATGTCAATTAATACTGCAACTTACAAAATGATATAAAATGTTATAACATTCAAAATATTAAAGATCTTTGAAAACTGATCAGAAGATCAGAATCAGAAGTTAGTAACTACAATATAAAGTATCAGCAATGATGTCTGCTTTTATGGATAAATTATGCCTAAAATATGCTAATGAAGGAATGACAGAAGTGGAATAAATTTTATCTGAAACAGGAGATACAGAATGTGGAACTATAAATGACAGGCCAAGCGGCTGATTTGGAAAAGGATGCTTTATTACAGGGATCCCCAATCCTCGATCTGTGGCATGGCAGCAATCAGGTTGTGCAAAAAGCAAAGCCCCATCTGTGGGATGCAGGCAGCTTGCAAAACCATGCCCCCTCCGGTCCATGGAAAAACCTCTTTCCATAGAACCGGTCCCTGGTTCCCCAAAAGTTGGGGGCCGCTGCTTTACTGGACATACAAGAGTTTGTTAAAATCTTGAAAAAATGTATGTGCTGGGATAAAGAAGAATTGAAAAGAAATAAAATCCCATTTTGTCAACATTTGACTGAATTAAAGATTGTTAGAAGGAATGTAAACTTGGTTTATTTGATCAAGATAAAAATAAGGCATTTTGTTGCAATGATTGCTGACACCAAAATTGAAAAGTTGATTTCTGTTTAACCTTATAGGGGATGAAGATATTTAAAAATTTGTTTATACTTCTTGTGATGAAGTTTAAAGTCACTCCTTTATATATCTTTCTTTTTATTACATTCTTTTATCTTCATTCTAGAAAGGAAAAAGCTCTTTTTCTAATTTTATAAGTTTGTATTGGTTTATACTACTATAATTCTTAATAAAATTATATTTGAAAAATGCTTATATATACATAAACTAATGCTTACAAATAAATTTCACTCTGAAATCATGATCAGTATTTAAATTTAATAATAAACATAAAATTCAGAGCTATTTTTACAACCAACTGCTTTAGATCAAACAAATTGCTCGACTTCTGCTTTATCGTCACTGCAAACTATTTTGTCCTTTCTCAGAAAATTAGTCTCACAAGGTTTAGTTAACAAAACTACCCAATACTATTTATATGTTTGATAGAGTTATACTCAAAGATGTACACAAAACAGCCTGCCAGTCTCCTGTAATTATTGGAAACTGTAAGAGAACTCATCTATTACCAGTATTAAATTTTCCAAAATAAATCTTTAGGCATGAAGGCAAATTTATCCCATAATTTTACAATATGAATATTGAATCATGAGAGTTCACTTATACTACATTATCAATTTCAGTTCATTGTCTTCTTGATGAAGCAAATTTCAGAATCTTGCAGCTGTGTCTTGTGTGTATTTAGAATCATAGTTATTAGTACAGCCTCTTCTTTAGGCATCTTATACATAAGATTAATATGAAATATATCTGAACTACAAGTCTGTGAATTGCCATGTTAATTATTCTTTTCAGGCAAGGATTTCCATTTCAGCCCAATGAATCAATACATTTTTTTAAAAAAATGGACATAAACTCATAAGATTTCCACCATTTTTTCAGTTTTTTTTTAACCCCTCACTCTTGCCAAATAAAACAAAGACACATTTGTCTTATAGTAGGAGTTAAACTCTTTATTCCATTCAGAGGCATCTGGCAAGTGAAGCTGCATAGGGGGCACATTACAGAGAAGAAATGATCAATACTTTATTGAACACTGAAATCATTTAAAGAATCACTTCCTAGCTATATGAAATACTCCATGTTGCCATATCTCAACTGAAACTAAAAGACATGATTTTACCACACTAAACTACAAATTTAAAGAAAAATGACAATATTTATGTCAACAGGTGTAAATGTAGCACTTATTTTGTAAAATAAAGCTATTAAGGAAAACAATCATATCAATCTTTGCCAAAATTAATACTGGACTCAAGATTTTAAAAAATCATTATGTCCATCTCTTACTTCAGTTCATTATAAGTTCATTATAAGAAAAAAAATCTCCTAAAGTTTAGGTAAAGTATTGTTCCCATTCCAAACCCCCAAGAAACTTGTTTTTCTTTCTTTCTGCTAAACTACAACATATACTTGTATTTTTAAGCCAATTAATAAAGAAAAATGCAGTAAAATAAAAGAAACTTTCCCTCCAAAAAAGTTATCTAATCTGTATAACCATAATCTTTGGGCAAATGATCTATTCTATGTAGAAATGCCTCTATTTTCTTATCAATCTAAGAGGTAGATCAACAAAATGGTGAAACAAACTGTTTTTGCTAATTGTGCCCCTCCAAACAGTGCAGCATAGCAGTCCCAATCTTCTCATGCACAGAAATATTACAAACAAAAGGGTCCGAGGTAATAGCATGGCTCGTGCACCCAGAGAGGCATGCACACGCACAGCAGTCTTTATGCACCATGTGTTGCCACATTGTTAAACTGAGGTAGACTGAAGTTTGTGTAGAAACTTGAATGCATATTACCACAATCACAATTCAAATTACATTCTGAAATTAAAGAAAAAATTAAATTTTTCTGTGATCCCTGCTTTTTAGTACATATTTTTTAGTTTGTGGTTGTTGCAGAATGTGCATAAATGCTGCTGTAACTTGTTTGTAAGCCAAGCTTGAGGTTGTATGAATTTATTTTTGTTTTTTTTTAAAAAAACCCTTCGAAGTGGCTTAGCGTGGCCTTTAATAGAGGATGTGTAAACTTAGCCTTTCATTACCTTTAAATGGGATCATCAAAGTATGTTGATCTCACCTCCCTCACCAACACCCAATACAATAACTGAAAAGAGTATGAAGCAATTGCTGGAAAGCAGAGAACCCATGCCTCCAAACTGCTCTAATTGATCAAGCATATTATCAAACTCAAGATGAAGCTTGCTCTTTGAATCAGAACATACAAATGGGCTGCAAATCTTTTAGTATTAGTAGGCAGAGAGTGATGGTCAAAGGCACAAAGGGTTCATGCATTCAATCAAGTAATACAAGGAAAAAAAAAAGTCCAGTTCTAACAGATTTTCTAATGTTTACTCAGAAGTCCCAGCCTCTTGCCATCACTTCCTTGTTCTGTTCCCAACAAAGTACCATCAATGTTTTTCATCCCATCTTAACAGAAAAATAATGGCATTGCTGCAATGAGTATATTGGCATTTGTTTAGGTTATAATCTGAACATTCACTGATTCCCTACCCCAACCCCACCCGCCCCAAAAATGATTGTGTTGACACCCTCATATATAATCTGGAACTAATTTTTTTCCATCTCACTCCTGTCAGCCAACAATTAGAAGTTACCCACAACACTTGTTCCATCACAATAAATTCTGCAGTGCTCCTAGACTGTTGGCTGATCAAATTTATCATTTTTTAAAAAAATAAAATGCTCAAAAACTATTAGCTTTATAAAGTATACAAAATACAAAAAAAGCAAAAAAAAGGCAAAAAAAGGAATAATTTCTTATTTGAGGTATTAAATGCCTGAGGTAGTTTAGTAAAATGCATATTCATCTTTTTATGCCTGGCCAACATCACTGAAACCTCTTAGTTTATACATGGCAGTATTGTATATAAATGCAGCCAAAGGGTTTTTTAAAAAGCCACTTGGTTAACATTGGGAATAACACTTAACCTCTTTGTTAATGCCCTTGATCTAAACTCCAGTCCCATCCCCAAATCAAACCTTTTCATTATCTTTGCTTCTTTTACAAGTGGAATAGAAGAGCAATGCCTTTACTTTTTAAACCAATGAACTCAAAAGAGAAAGCTTCATTAAATCAATGCCTAATACTGCTGGGGAATAGTAAGAACCATGAAAGAAAACTAGCAAGTTTATGTTAAACTGTGAGAATAGAACAAAAGGGAAGTGAAGGGGGCCTTAGTTTAAAGCTGAGTTTCAAAAGTAAGAGAGCCTAAAGAATACATTCTCAGAGACAGTATGCCAACTGCGCCTGGTTCTCAAACAAATTGGCTTGGTGAAATTTTTGTATATCATTCCAACAGGTGCCCATAACCTGTCCATTACAGTTTAGTCTCTCTCTCTTTCTCTCTCTCTCTCTCTTTCTCTCTCTCTCTTTCTCTGTCTGTCTCTCTCTCTCTCTTTGGTTTGGCATCTGTCTCTGAAGGGTCTTTTACTAAACCTTTATTTTCGTCTCTGCTGAGGCTGTCCACTTGGTGCTGTTTTCTGTTGTTGTTGTTGTCTTCTTACCTGAGCCAGTATTTCCTGAATTTTTCGTTGGGCAAGCTATGTGACAGAGAAGAATTGCCATTAGAGAATTTCATGCTTTTTCCTCCAACTGCTATCCCGTTTCTTAAATACATTTGAAACTGTGCACAACCCAGAGCACATCTGTGTCTGAAATATTTCATCAGGAATGACTGCAATTACAGTCACAATTCTTTAACCCATTTTTTTTGATAAGTAGAAATCAGTAAATAAAAAAGAAGCAAACTAAATAAGAAAATTTGTACACCACCACATTGCCAATGTGGGCCTATGCTAGACAAAACAGGGGAGAGCAAGAAAGATTTTTGTGATTTAAAAATAACCCAAATAGTAAGCCATCGGCATTTACACAGAAATCACTAGTTTTAAAAAAAAAAACCTTTTCTCAAAGGTACTTCAAAATGAAATATAAAAGTTAGTGTACAGGTAATCCTCAATTTACAACCATTTATTTAACAACAATTTGAAGTTATCATGGCTTTGGAAAAAGTGATGAGTCATCCTTAAAGTTATAACCACTGCACTATCTCCACAGTCATGTAATTGTAATTTGGGCACTTTAGATTGCAGTCATGTGGATCCAGTCATGTAATGACTTGGTTAATGACTGTGTCACTTGGTGATCAAAATTCTGGTCCCAATTGCAGTTGTAAGTCAAGAACTACCTGTAACAGATAAATTCAGTGGGAAATGCCATGTGCCTTTTGAGATTGCAATTATTAAACAATGAAAAAGTCAAAGAATTCTATTTCAGACAGAAACTTCCACCAACCTGGCATGCATAGAAATGACCAGTAATTTTCACAACCACCTGATCATTTTCATCTGGTGTCTGATCACGAGGAACAACAACTTCTGCACTTGTTAAATTCTGAAGCTCATTTACCTGTTAAAAAATTGTAAAATTGCATTGGCTTTTCAAATCTTGTAACTGAGACTTATTCTATGTGGGTGTACTCAAGAAAAAATTTGTTCAAATATAAATTATATTAAAATAGTTAGCATAATTATTCCCAGTGTATGCAACTATTTATGTTTTACTAGAAATTATTTTTGAGAGGATAGTGTCTAAATGAGTATTTTTATGAGAGACTATTTTTATTTTTTTTAAAGTAAAACAGTAAAAAATGTGTGCTAGCAGGTGAAGAAAGAAAGGGAAGGAAATCAGATTTGTGGGTTTAAGAAGAGAGGGGAATAGGAGGAGAAAGAAAAGATGTAAAAAATGCGGAAGTAAAAGGATTTGTAAGAAAGGTGACTCAGTATAGATTGTAGATAGCATACAACAAAGTAAAAGAACCATATAAACAAAGCAGAATAATACCATCATTAAAATTCCATAGTTATTCCCAGAAGAATGAAAATAATTGTGTTGTTGTAATACTTTTATGAATTGTCAGGAGGGAACAAGGTTCTTAAATCCCCCCACAGTATAGGATGTTCCAAAGTACAGAGTTAAAAAAGAGAAAAGGTTCATCTGGAGATCCCAAGGTGACCTCAGGCTGTAAGGAGCTGGACAAGGCAAGACAGAGCAACTGCCCAACTAATTTTCTTACTTCCTTCACACTTTCCTGATGGGGCTGCATTCCATATGAAGGAGGAGGTCGGTCTGTAACTTGTGAGTCTTTCTGGACTATGCCTCCTTCAGCAAATGGAGCTTTGGCTGGTATTCCTGTGGTAGCCCTTTTCAGAGCAGGAAGCTTTAGTTATGGTCAAGCACTTCTTGACCATATTTTGAATTAGGAGTACTTCAACCTACTTTATTAAGGGCTGCACTAGAGGATTACAGTCAGCCCGATTACAATGGGAATTGGGACTAGAATTTCGGTCATTAATTATGAAATTTTGGTCAATAATTTTGCCAGTCTGACATAAGCTATGGGGGGGGGGGGAAGGGAAATGGAGAAACAGAAAGCAACCTTCCTACATCTGGAGTCATCCTAAGGCCAAGGACCTGGGAATGGAATGTATCACCACTCCACCTATCCATCTGTTGCAGGGATAGTTACCAAAACATCTTCAAATGTGAGTGGACGATGGAGAGATTGTGTGTGTGTGTGTGTGTGTGTGTGTGTGTGTGTGTGTGTGTGTGTGTGTCAAAAAAGGGAAAGTTATCTAGGGAATCTTCGCATGTGAACTCTTAATTCTGTCTTTGCTTACTGTAAACACTTGGCTTTAAGTAAAAGTAATCTTTTCGCTACAAATGGAGTCGAAAGTGTTTCTTTCCTAAAGGACCAAGCTGGGCCAGGTCTGACAGTTGTGGTCATAAAACATGACATCACATGTCTCTGCTTAACAACAGCAATCCCTACAGTCTCTGTTGCCACTGTTAAGTAAATACCTCCTCACAACTTCTTCCTGGTTTCCAACAACCAGAGTTAGTGGAAAAGCCATGAGGAAGTTGCAAGTCCCAGGGGGACTGCAAGCAGGCCCGCAGTAAGGAAAGTGGCTTGCAGTGGCTGCTGCCCAGCAAGAGAGGGTGTGTAAGTGGCCAGGTGGAAATATGACAAGGTTTGGGGGGGGATGTGCAGAAAAGAGAGACTTACCCAATTTATGACCTTCTCTGCTGGCTTCCCTCGTTTCAGTTTGTGGGCAAGGAAAATTGCAAATCACAATCATGTGATAATGCATTTGGGAGAGGAGAGTCTCAAAGAATCTGTTCCTTGGCCTCAAATCAGAAATTTTTGTTTTATAAGATAATCTGGCAAAATATTTTTTCATGTTCTAATACTTGCCGTTTTGCCACCTTTGCCAATAACTCTACCAGCAGCATAGGATGGCACTTTTATGTGAGCTTCAAGTTTCACTTCTTCTTTAGGTCCAAAGAAATTTTCTTCCTTAAGTTTCCCATAGATTCTCCCTTGGGCCTTTAAGTAAAAAAAACAAAACCCAGTCAATATTATCAAACACTAAATTTCAGAACATAGTACACAAAAGATGAAGACTGTGATCTTTTTCACCATTCCATCTTTTTCATTTTCTTCTGTCAAAATAACATAAAAACAGCAGAAATAAATCCCAAGCTTTAAGAGGTCTTAAACAATTTTTTTCCTCATCAACTAGCTCAAGGATATTAGAATATGATTTCCTAGAAGGATTATGGAACATTGGAGCTGATTTTCCAGAGATTAATCTGCAAGCAGCCAGTGGCACAATGATCAATAGAGTGTGCCTCTCAAAAAAATTTTAAAATCACCTTTTGGGAAGATATAATATCCGATTTGAATTCTGCAACAAAAAATGCCCAGTAATAAATATTATTACAAGTTGGCCATAAGTGAAGAAATATGGGTACATTTTGCTTCATGCACAACATATCCAAACTTTAATTCCAAGCCAGTTTGAAATGTAGAAAGTCCTTCATATCTTACTATTGTATTAAAGACTTTATATGCCCTTTATTTAACAGTCAAACTGTACAATTTTGGCACTAGTGTCATTTTTTTAATGGAATTTAGTTTTCCAATTTTCTTCAACATTTATACCTTTAAAAATCACAATGGCAGTTTTAGTTTACTGGGCAGCATTTTTGTATTTATAAACAGCTTAGTAGTATCTGATTATCTAATTCAAGCAGAATGTTGAAACTGTTCAAAAATGTAGCAGTGCACAGCTTTTTGGCTATTCAAAATGCTATAGTGACAGCTACCCATTGTTTCTCTAACCCAAGTGTAGGAAAACATCTCAGCAGATGAGAGCCATTCTGATGGCCAAGGGCCATAGAGAGTTTTCTTCCCATGATCTAGAAATGAAATCACATTTTTGCTGATTTGTCACAAATGTTAAGTTGATGATTGGGAGGGTACTGCAAAACAGGGGACTAAGGTAACAAATTATTTGCATATCTCTGCTGTGCAAACACACAAAGAGTATTAGAAACTTTAAAATGATACCTTGAATTGTGCCTCAGGTGGTCCAGTAATTATCACCATTCTCAGTTTGGCATCTGGTCCTTCAGGAGGTGCTATCTAGAACATAAGTGATATATTTAAGAGATCATTAGATCCTCTTCCATTCCCTGGACTCTAATCAAATCAATCAATGTTTATTATGAGATTAGCAGTACAAATAAAAGCATTAAAACAATAATAGTAAAAACAAAAATAAAAGACACAATAATATATTACAATTGGTGGTGGATTATCAGTGAGCAGTTAGAGTCTGCTTAATTCTGTATACAGCATAACAGAATTTGGCCACGTTCAGAGAAACTAATTTTTGTTGATCTGACAACAGTAGTTGCATGTTAAGAGTATTTCCTGGATATTTTATCAGGTGAGCTGTTATAAACTGAATTTATGAATCCTTATAGAAGATACAATCTAGCAGGACGTGAGCTATAGCTTCAATGGCCCTTTGTCCAGAGGGGCAGTTTCAGCTCATATGGTATTTTTTTCTATCCGCTGTCCAAAACTGCGGTGGAAAAATGCATTGCAGCATGCTAAAGTTAATGGCCTTCAGATTTTTGGGATGGTTATTGTTGCTTTAAAGGAGAATGAAATCATTTTTTTAAAAAGAATATACTCATATTAATTCTAAAACACATTGGTTAAACATCTTTTCATGAGAGTAGGCATCCAGATAAGATTCAGTGGTGAATTAGATGTCCCCAAACAAGAGTGATCTGGTTGTGGCAATGAATGGCAGCCAGCAGGGATTTCTGAGTGGTAAAGTTGTTCCAGATGAAAGAAAAATTATCAGGTTATCCAACTGCCCTCTGGACTGCTGCTTCTCATGACGAGATGGAAGGTTTTCTTGAGAATAGAGTGGCAGAAGGTGAAGGAAGAAACAGTGTGCTTCCATACACAAGGCACAGCCTTTTAAAGGATTCCAAACCCTCAAACCTTCAGTTTTAAATACAATCAATTGAAGCCTTTGAAAACAGTGGAACGAAGAAAACTCTGTGACTCTTAGAATTTTATTTCTGAATTACAGAAACTAAAGCAAAAATGAAATAATAATTTTAAAAGATTTTAAAACAGCAAAGAGCTTTACAAGATTTTGATTAAGAAAGTTATAAAAAAAGGACTGTACAAATTTGAAAATTAGCATTTTGGAAAAAGTACTTTTGGTGCTATTTGGAATTAAACAAACAAACCTTATCTTCAATACCAAAGGAAAAAAAACAATTGGCAGAATTTATAAAACAAGGAAAGGTGAAAGCAGGAAAAAAGGAGATACCTGCTTTTTATTCTTATCTTTATAATTGATTTACTTTTATATTATAAAAATTATATTTATATTATAAATAAAAAATAGCAACCATTGGAAAAGCTGCAAGGCTTGATGAAGCATTGATAGAAAAGGAATTATTGCAGAAATATTACAAAAGATGTTTAAAGAGATAAGGAAACAGGTATCTGAATATGTGACGTATTAAAAATGAACTGGCTATTGAAGTTAGAACAGAAAGAAGGTTTATAAACATGAAAAAAGAAGATGAAAACTATGAAAGAATTTATAGGAAATATTAAACAAATTGATGAAGAAGTGGAAATTTTAAAAAGTAAAATAGAAATAATAAACAGAGGAATGGAAAAGAATTTTGCTTCAGACTTAGAACAGTTCCAGAGGATCCTGGAAAAGACACCAGAGAAAGTTTGTTCAATCTTTAACAAACTTTTTGGGATGATATAAGGCAGCAGAAATGACTAAGTGTATAGAATCAATACATGATTTTCAAAATTAAGAAATGTACCAAAGGGTATTCTTGTGTACTTTGTCAGAAAGAAGATTAGACTCAAGTTTTGCAGCAGCATTTTATTATCAAACTCAAGATTAATAATGCAGATGTGATTGTACTTAAAGAAATCCTGATCAGAATACTGAACCAACAAAATTATTGAAAACTCAAAGAGAAAAAGATATCATTTTGATGGGTTTGGAAAGAGTGATCTCCACATTTAATCATGTCTATTATGACTTGCAAAAAAGCCAGAAAATCTTAGGTTAAAATAGATATTGTGATACATATAATTTTAAAGATTAATATTCAGTTGAAATCAGAACTCCTCTTGCTGAGACTAATGGACTGTTAGGAAAGAGTTATGGAAAATTGTTTGTTTATATTATAATTTCTGCAAGATTAAATTCACAAAAATTGAAAGACTCTGAAATAGAAGAATGGCTGGTGAGGATGACAGAATTAACAAACGTCAAAACTGACTTGTTTGATAGAGAAGGAGCGTTGGCTTACCTGAACGCTTCTTCTCAGCATGATGATGGAGAATCCACCAATGAGTTAATTCAGCCCTCCTGCCCAATCAGACTAAATCAGTCAAAGTTGTCACGCCTGTCCTGGTCTGGTACCTCCCAGTTTCGACGACGGCAGAGCCAATGACGACAGTCCGACGTGATGACTCCCAAGAGAAGAAAATAACCAACCCCCTGACACAAGACCTAATGGACCCTAAGAGGGGTGGGTGTGGATTCTCGATCATCATGCTGAGTAGAGGTGTTCAGGTAAGTCAATGCTCCTTCTCCAGCATGATGGATGGAGAATCCACCAATGGGACGTACCAAAGCCCCCAATGTCCCTAAGGGAGGGAGTCAGTTGGGACCTATGTCCTGGACCCTGGCACTACCTGTTGTAGTATTCTCCGACCAAAGGAGGCTTCTGCTGAGGCAAACTTATCTAGCCGGTAATGCCGTACAAAGGGAGAAGGCGAAGACCATGTTGCCACCCTACAAATGTCCTAAATAGAGGCCCATGCAGCGGAGATGGCAGCGCTGCGAGTAGAATGCGCTGTCACATGACTTGGAGCCAACAGGGATAAAGACAAATACGCCCCTGCTATGCAAGCCCTGATCCATCTGCCTATGGTAGAGGCAGACACCTTTTGACCCATAGAAGGCTGGAAGGAGACGAAAAGGGCTTCTGACCTACGAAAGGCCGCTGTCCACTTGGTATGATAGCGTAAGGCTCTGCAGACGACCAGTGTGTGCCATTGCCACTCCAAATCATGTGATGAGTTAGGGCAAAAGTCCAGGAGAATGACCTCCTGCGTTCTGTGAAAAATGGTGTTGATTTTGGGTACAAAGGATGGGTCCAACCTGAGGACCACCCTGTCTTTGTGAAAGACGCATAAATTGTCTCTAATAGAAAGAGCAGCCAGCTCCGAAATGCGTCTGGCTGAGGTAATGGCTATCAAGAAGGCGACCTTGAGCGACAAGGATCGCAGAGAACAGGTCCTAATTGGTTCGAAAGGTGAGTTAGCAAGGGCCTGGAGAACCCGTAACTCCCAGGAGGGATATCTGTGAACCACGGGTGGTCTATTGTTAGTGACTCCTTTGATAAAGGAGTGGACCATGGGCTGCTGAGACAATGACTCTGATTTGTCCCAGGAGACCACCATGGTTAGAGACGCCATCTGCCTGCGAATAGTGTTGGGTGTTAAGCCCTTGTTGACGTCTTCTAATAAATAGTCCAAAACCTTCGGGATGGTCACATCTGAGAGTTGTGAGTCCTGTCACACCAGTGGCAGAAATTCCGCCAAGTGTGATCATAAATGCAATTGGTTGCTGGTCTCCTGGCTGCATGAATCATGTCAATTACGCCTGATGAGTATGTCTCGTGTCAGGGTGTGGCACTCAAGTGCCAGGAGGCTAATTGGAGCCATTGGGGATCTGGATGTTGCAGGACGGCTCGCAGGAATCCGCCAGGGAGGAGCCGTGGAAAGGTTCACAAGGTCTGCAAACCACGGTCGTCGTGGCCAGTGTGGTGCAATGAAGATTAACTCCTCCTGACAACTGCCGGAATCAGAGGAAGAGGAGGAAATACGTGCAGTAGACCCTATAGACAAGGACTGCGGAGGGCGTCCGTTCCCTCCACCCCGAGGGAAAATGTGAAAATAATCTGGGAAGTTCAGCTTTCTCTGGCGAGGGAATCAGGTCCAGGAGCGGATGGCCAAACCTGTCTGTGATCTCCATGAAGAGATCTGGGTGGAGGCGCCACTCCAAATGGTCCACTGTTGACCTACTGAGGAAGTCTGCCTGCCGATTCGCCTCTCCCGAAATGTACTCGGCCTTGATTTCTGCCCAAGAACCCAGCAGCCGAAGCTCCGCCATGAGGGACCTGGAACGTGTGTCCCCCTGCCGGTTCACGTGGGCCTTCGCCACCACATTGTCCGTGAGAACCAGCACGTTGTCTCGCAGTCTTGTTGTGAAAGTGGCGGAGGGTCAGATGGATCATCCTGAGCTCCAACCAATTGATGTTGTGCTTCAGGTCCAACCGTAACCATCGGCCTTGAGCCAACTGAGATTGGAGGTGCGTTCCCCAGCCGAACAGACTGGCGTCTGTGGTCAGAATGATTCAGCGAGGTTCTTTGAAAAGTGCCCCCTTGCATATGGCCGAGGATGTCCATCAATCGAGAGAACGAGGACCTGACATGGGACTCGTTGGTTGGAGGAGCTGGTGCCCAGTCTCTGAAATGGGAGCAGAAACCACTGAAGAGTCCAGGAGTGTAACCTGGCCCAAGGCACTATTGCTATGCAAGATATTAATTTTCCCAGCAACTGGGAGAGCAAAGCTAGTGTCACTACGCGCTCCCTGCGAACCCTGAGGACCAGGTCTCGGATACTGTTTTGACGGTCCTTTGACAGGTAAACATGGCAAGAGTCTGTGTCTATTACCGCGCCCAGGTATAGAAGGTGGGTTGCGGGGACTGTCTGACTCTTCTGAAAGTTTATCGGGAACCCGTGGTCCTGGAGAATCTTGATTGCTAGGGCCAGGTCCGACTGGGCAGTCGGGATGGAGGATGATTGGATCAGGATGTCATCCAGGTAACACTGGACACGTACCGGGACCAACCTTAAGTGTGCTGTGAGAACAGCCAGGATCTTGGTGAAGACCCTGGGGCTGACAAGAAGCCGAAAGGAAGGGCCCTGTACTGGAAGTGACGGTTGGCATAACAAAACCTCAGAAATTGTTGATGGTCTGGGAGGATGGGAATGTGGAGATACGCCTCCGTAAGATCGATGGATGTCATGAAGTCCCCTCGTCTGACACTGCTCAGGTTGGAGTGGAGTGTCTGCATCTTGAACTTTCGATACATGAGGTGGGAGTTCAAGCCCTTGAAGTCAAGGATTGCCTTCCATCCCCCTAAGGTTTTTGGGACCATGAACAGGATGGGAGTAATATCCCCTCCCTATCTGGTCCGCCGAAACCTCCTCTATGGCCCTGATGTTTAATAAATGTTGAATGGCGTCTGTCATGAGACTCCTCTTTGTTGGATTTCTCAATAGTGGGCAAGAAACAAAACGATTTATAGATCTGATTACAAACTCCAGGGACAGACCTTCTCTTATGGTGCTTAGCACCCAAGAGTCTGTGGTTGTGTTTTCCCATTGGTGAATGAAAAGAGCGAGTCTGCCGCCAATGGGAGAGGTTTTCCCCAAGTAACTTGGAGCGACAAAAGGGACGGCCTCCTCTGCCTTGAAAGGGGGCCTTAGCCTGGGTCTGCTGTCAGGATCGGTCTCTATAACCCACCCTGTCAAATGAACGGTCTGTTTTGGGAACAAAGGGCCGGGATGTTTGTCCAGCCTCTGTGGGTGACCTTGTCCGAAAGGACTGACGGCGAGCATAGAAAAAGAACCACTTATTTGATCTCCTAATTAGATGAGAGATCACCTTTTGTTTTTGTTTGTTCTCCACTAGATAGGGAGTTAGCACCTCTCCAAATAGCTGACCCCCCTTAAATGGAGCAGTGGCAACGCGCCATTTGTGTTTACTTTCAGCCCTCCAGTTCTTAAGCCAAAGCAGTCGTCGCGTGACAACACTGGAAGCCATTGCTCAGGTCGAATGTCTGGCGGCGTACAACAATACATCCGCCATGTACTCTGAGGTCACCACCAGTTTGGTCAGATCTTGGTGGACCCTGACTTCCTCTAGGGGAATCCTTGTTTGAAGCTGTCTGAGCCAGATGAGGGAAATTCTGGCAAAGAACGAGGTGGAGGTTGCCGCCTTTGCTGCCCATGCTGATGCTTGGTATATTTTACATAAGGAGAGCTCAGATTTTTTTATCCTCTGCCCTTAGGGCATCAGAGACATCTCCTGGTAACCTGGAGGATGAAAATAGCGGGGCTAGGGAGTCGTCCACCTTAGGCACCTCCAACAAATCTGTTATGAAAGGGACCATATCTACTAAGTTGCGCTCTGCTCCCCCCTGGGAAGATTGGGCGTCCGGTGATTCCCATTGTCCCTGAATATTTTTGAGGAATAGAGGGGGACAGGGGATCTGTTGACGCCTGACAACCAGTTCCAAAAATAACGGATCCGGGTCCTGAGTAGATGAAGGTTCTGGGATGGGGATAGGGTCTGGACCAATTTTACCTGCTGCACATACCCTGCAAAGTAGAGATGGGAAGAGTGTAGAGTTAAAGAGCTCTACCATGGGATAAGGCTCTTGTGAAGGCTCCTTGCAATCTGACCATTGATCTCCAGTATAGTCATAATCGGAAGAGCTGGGAGTATTGCTTCTCGGAGAATGAGGAGACGACATCAAATCTGGATGGTCGCACCCTGTAGGTCGAGTTGAGACGGTTGGAACAGATGAATGTTTCGGAAAGGATGAAGATTGTTGATGACCAGAGGAAGCCATCGCTTAAAGCACTGCCTGCGATATCATGGCCTGCAGCTGATCAGCAAATGAAGGGTCCTGTGAAGGGTGAAGCCCTGCTGCTGTCGGGGTAAATGTTGCTGCAGGTTCCGTGGAGGGGCCCTGTGGCAGAAGTTCCTCCCCAAAAAGGGGTGGGCCTTCCTGACCAAAGGTCTGCATAGAGACCTGCTCAGGCTCCCACTCTGGGGACCACGCCCGTGTTGGGGCAAGAAGGTGTGAGTCAATGGCGGGAGCCACAAGTGGGGGAAGTGGTGGTTTGTCCACTTCCCCTACTGCCAGCTGTTGTGCCCAAGAGAGCTGCTTTTCCAAGGCACGATGTGCTCGGCTGGTCTGCTTTTCAGCTGACTTACTTGGCTTTTTGCTGGATTTAGACTTAGATTTGGCCTTTACCTTAGCCGCGGCTTCTTGGCAAGGGGACTTGCATTTAAATTGCTGATCGAAACAGAAGCCTATGACTCAGTGTTTTCTGCCATGTTGAACGAGAAGGATCCCAGCTGATCACTGAAAGCAATCTCGATCTGCAAGAGAACGTCAGTTGCCTACCACGATGGGACTGATTTGCACGTGGATCAACGTGGTCCGGCCACAAGCCAAACCGGATTCATGCTGAGTGCGTTAAAGTGCTTGTCACTGGGATATCCAGTTGAGTGACGAGATCTCACGTGTCTCACATAGTGGCAATAGTCAGGGCCTAGAGAGCCACCACTAGATATAGAGTGGCAGATTGGCTAAAGCGAAGGAATTCTAAGCGGCAAAGGCCTGTGACAATGAATTGCTTGTAAAGGTAATGAGAGAGAATAGGTGCTGGAAAGAGACTGCTAGGGTAAAACGATGATCCTCTGTGATTTAGGTGTCTGACAAGGAAATTCAAATGGTGGGCCGGAGCCTGTCAATGTATTGTCTGTGGACACCTAACGTGGAGACTACCTGTAATTTGGGGTCTGCCTGGTCAAAATTCAGGTGCCTGTTGGGACCAGGTAGTCCTATAGCCCTCTAAGTCTAGGTAGGCCAGAGAGGGTTGAGGCTGTCACACGGAAACCCAAAATGGTGTCCACCACGAACAAGGTAAGTAAAAAGCTGTCCTGCAAGACTGCCCAAAATGGCACCCGCAACTAGTGAGGCGAGGGAGACTATTAACGTTCCTCTGAGTAGTATATGAAACTGCCTTCTGATGACCGGGCGAGAGGCGCGCTAGTCCCAGTCTCCTTCAAGACTACCAAACCCTCAAGGGAAGGGCCTCCCTGCTGTCCCACAAAGGGCGACTGTTTTCAGATCGTGGAGAGATGCACTTGCGTAAGTCCCTCTCACTTGGCTCACAGACTAATCTATTTCTTGCCCTTTAGGTGAGATCCTTCAAGGGAATGCTTCGTGGCTCGCACTGAACAGCTGAGAGGCGCGGCAGCCGTGGCGCCTTCCAGCAGCAGCAGGGAGTCTGCGACCGAGAGACAACTGAGAAAAATGAAGTGAACTGTCAGGCAAGAATGTTTTAAAGGCTAGAGCAATCTCAGCATGCACCGAAAAAATGCGCTGATTCCAGGTCTATCCGCTGTAGCTGGGTTGTAAAGAGGCAGAGTTTCCTCAAGGAGCTTGTCAGTTGAACAGTCCCAAAATGGCGTCCGCGAGATAAGCTGAGCTCTTGATAGAGGGAAAAGCCTCAGATGACAAGCTGAGCTCCTAACAGAAGGGGGAAAGCCTCAGATAACAAACTGGGCTCCTAACAGAAGGGAAATTCTCCAGATGACAAGCTAAGCTTCTGACAAAAGAGAAAAAATCTCAGATTACAGTCCCCTGATGGAAGGAATGATCAGAGGCTATGTAGCTTCTAACCCTCCTCCCCAGGAGAATCCACTAATGGGCTAGAGAAAGGGAAATTTTTTTATCCAAGTCAAACCTGCTATTAGAAATAATTTGGGAGTCAAAATTGTCACGTCCTTCTGGGTGAACAGACTAAGTCGAAACTGGGAGGTATCAGACCAGGACGGGCGTGACAACTTTGACTGACTTAGTCTGATTGGCAGGAGGATTGAATTAACCCATTGGTGGATTCTCCATCCATCATGCTGGAGAAAGGTCAATAAGTACATTTATTAATGACTGGAAATTCCTTATAAACTGTTTTGCTGGACAAAGAAAAAGACAAAAATTAACAATTTATCGGTTTGATTAGAAAGGAGTGACTATTAATAGAAGAAAATTTTGTTGTACTGTTAGAGAGGGGAAAAATATAAATCTACTTACAAGTTGCTTCTTTTCTTTCTCTTTTATATTTCTTTCTTTGTACTTTTTCACATATTTCCTCTTTACTTTTCTTACTTTTATCTTCAAAATTTGCATTGTTTTTATTCTTATAAAATTTCTTTAATAAAAATTATTTAAAGATCTGTTTACGGATTTTTAAGTATAGCTGTTAGTAACAATCTTTCTCTCTAAGGTACTTCTTTCATTTGAATCATATCCTTATGTAAATATATATCCTGCTATCAGAGATCTACCATTTTGGTAACTAGAAATTATTGGAAAAGAATTATTTGATTAGCTGATTGTGAAGAAAAACAGTAATATTTTTATATCTTCTATCTCCTGAAAACTAAATGCTTTCTGCTATAATACTGCTATACTAGCTTTTCTTTACTCAGCAAAGAGCTGACATACCTGAACTAAAGTGAAATCTAGATAAGTGGACTTCTCAAATGGTAAACCATTTGCTTCTCTTGTTTTGAATTAAACATTAAAAGTTGTGTGGAAACAATTAAGCTGCACTTCAAAAACATGGCCTAAAGCTTTCATGCTAAGAACAATTATGTAAAAGTCACAACCACCAAGAGGGTTTGGTTTCTTTTTCATAACTTCTATTTCGCCTCTCAAATAACTTTTAAAAATATTCTTATAATTATCTTGTCTCTGAAAGAGCCAGGAATACCCATTCTAGAAACAGGAAGTACCAGTTATTGCTTGATATGCAAGGTATGGTGTCTGAGGTAGCCACAGAACAGGGCCTGCAAAAACTTGCTCTTAAGAGACAAGAAGACTGTGGTATAAATATCTGATATTACCTTAATAGATGCACCTGCAAAACGAGAAAGTTGCTTGATGTGCTGCCCTTGTTTGCCAATAATGGCTCCCACTGCTAAGGCTGGGATAAACAGATGAACTGTCTCAGATTCTGGTTGTTGCTGGAATGCAAAGAAAATACAGGCGGGCTATGAACAACCATGAGGGTAAACTTACTCTTAAGCCAAGATTATACCTATAAATATTTTGATTTAAAAATGTAATTAAATACACAATTTAAATCAAATACATAACAGAAAAAGATAATTACACACACACACACACACACACACACACACATAAATCTTTAACTTCAAAAAAAGCAGTGGTTTAAAATGAAGTGTAGGCAGTAAATTCAGAACATATGCAGTAAAAAAATAGGTTTAAAAGAGCTGCAGCCTGTTCAATAGAGAATTTTATCAAGTTTTGCTAATGTGTTTCCCATTTTTCATGTTTTTTTAAATATAAACTTTTATAAAGGTCATAACAGAATTGTAATTGATTAGTATCTTTATATGTCTGTCCATCTCACAAGACGTGACTCTGGTCAGAAACGGTAAAAAAAAGAGGCATGAACAGTAAGGATACCAAATACAATCATATTAAAACACATAAACATATACACTCATATACACATATATACACAATTTGATCAGCAACAGAACCACATTAAACTCTTTGTCAATTCTATATGATTTATAAGTATACTTTTAAAAGGAATTAAATGGCACTAAGAATTCCAATGGTGGAGATTGCAAATTCCATATTGAAGTCTGACATTTTCAAGAGATCTTACTGCATGTAGTATTACTGTTTATACAACACTAGGACACTCCACTGATTTTAAAGAAATATTTTAAATAAATATTTCAAGTATTATTAATGGATGACATAAAAAAACCTGAAGAACATCTGAACTTGATTTATTTAAAACCAAGTTGAGATTTTAACCATTCTTTTTGCAGCAAATATATTCAGATATAAGGGTTTTAATTTATAATCAAGTCTGATTTTATTTCTATTATAAAATTTAATTAAGACTATTTTTGTATACTTAAATACTTGTTTTATGATTTTACAAGTTTTTCAAATGGATGAACTTGCTCATCTATATTATAGTAAAAATGTTCTACCATTATCTGTGAAGATTAAATACATAACACTTAATTATTGTTTTTTAACAAGTATGTTGCATTTCTTTGTGTCAAAGAGAAACCAGTAGTCAAGCTTTGCAATCAACAAAACTGTTTTAGAAAAACTATTGAAAGACTAACAATAGAAATAACCATCCTTAAAAATATCTCACTGAAATACAAATTATATAAATGCATGAAGATGAAAAGAAACGGTCACATATACACTTTTTGTCTCTAACAACCTATGCAGATGCTAACAATACTTCAATGATTTAATCTTTGCATAATGAAATCTTTGGTTCAGTACCTGGCGTCTGTAATTGTAGGAGAGTAAATGGCAGAACCAGGGGAAGAAGTAAAAAGTTTTGATTTATTATGTAGCCACAAAATCCAAATCCCCTTGATAGTGATTGGCCCTCATCCAACGCTAACCAATACTGACTATTGGTTGAGAAGATTCCTCTTCATAGGTTTTAAGCAATAAATCATGTGAGGGCTTGGTTTTTCATGCCTGACATAAGGGCAGTCAGAAACCAAGAAAGCTGCCAAGAGCTTTAGACAGCTGTCTAGAAAATTCTGGAAACTAAAGTTCATTAATCTTGAACCAGATTCGGGAAAACAAGAGACACCACATGAACTAGATAAGTCATCTTCTTCAGCATAAGATAGCTTCTTGTGTTTTCTTTAGCCCAAATCATGCTTATTGGAAATCTACTCCCCAAAGAGAAATGAATGAGAGCACAATATAATCCCAAACAAAAACACCTTATGGAAGAAACTCTGAATCATAACATTCTTGCCATAATGACATATCACCCCTTAGATTACTTTCCAGGAAATCTTGTTGAATGTCTCTCACATACACATATACACACACACTACAATTAAGTAAAAGGAGCTTGAACATATTGTTTTAAATAAACAAGCTTCAATGTGCAATATATTGACAGAGGAATATGGCTAGACTATAATAGAAAAGAATTGTTGTATATTCCAATAGGACAGCGATAGACATAATTTTCAAACGGTAAACTTATCAGAACAACAGAATAACAAAGTTGGAAGAGATCTTGGAAGTCTTATAGTCCAACCCCCTGCTCAAACAGGAGATCCTATACCAGTGATGGCGAACCTTTTAGAGACCAAGTGCCCAAATTGCAACCCAAAACCCACTTATGTATTGTCGGATGCCGGGTGGGCATGGCACATTGGGTTGGAGTGGCCCATTGGGTGATAAGGGAAGACTGGGTAAGACTAAAAAGTTCAATCAATCAATTCCAACTTTGCGAGATCTTTTTTTTTTCCGCAAGAAGTTGAAATTGATTGATTGATTGAACCTTCTTTTTTTGTTGTACATGGCAGCAGAGGCCTAAGCGAAAAGGTTTTATAAAACCCAGCTGAAGGCCTAGGACTGGGGCGACGACACACGTGCCCACAGAGAGGGCTCTGCGTGCCATAGGTTTGCCATCATGGTCCTATACCATTCCAGAAAAGTGGCTGTCCCTACCTAAACCTAACCCTGCTCTTCTTTGTGGCAGCCTCTCTCAAATACTGGAACACTGCTATCATGTCACTCCTAGTCCTTCTTTTCAAATGACAATTCACAGAATATTTAGAGAAGAGTACATACATCTAAACAAATATTTAGAGAAGAGTATATACATCTAAACAAATTCAATTCCTGCAACCATTTTTCATATGTTTTAGCCTTCAAACTCCTAATCATCTTTGTTGTTCTTTTCTGCACTTTTCCCAGAGTCTCGACATTTTTTTTATAACATGGTGACCAAAACTGGCTGCAATATTCTAAGTGTGGTCTTACTAAGGCTTTATAAAGCGCTACTAATACTTAACATGATCTTGATTCTATTCCTCTGTTGCACTGGGTTTTTTGGCTGCTGCCGCATACTGCTGGCTCATATTTAAATGATTGCTGTTTAACAATATGTATATGAATAAGAATCATGTGCTCAAAAACCAAGTTTTTTCCATTTATTTCTGGTTCTGAGGAACATAGCTGGTCATACTTTCTTTAGATGTATACTCTTCTCTAAATATTCTGTGAATTGTCATTTTCTTCACATTTGTGCTATTCTAATTCAAGATTTTAATATCATAAAAAAAATCACACTAAATATTTCCATTAAATCAGGGAAACCAATATATTTTCATGCAATATATAATGGGGAACAGTTATAACCTACTGTGCAAAATATACAAAGAGCTAGAATTACCCCAAATGGAGGATATGAAGAGGAAGCAGTGGCTGGAGCAACACCCACTGTGGGAGGTGGTATCCCTGAAGAAGAAGGTGGGAATAAACCCAAGGCATTCAGATTTAGCCCTGGAATTAAATGTGCTTGAAGCTGGAATAATATGGAAGATAATTAATTCAGCAACATAATTAAAAATAATTACTATCTTAAATAAAGTATTTTTTTTGCTTAGCAGTCAAAATGTATATAATTTAAATGGAGTGAAATTTCATGTAGCTAATTAATTTAAAAATTAATATCAGAATCTTTATCAACATCTTATCAACATCTAGCTATATCAGTGTTTCTCAATCTTGACAATTTTAAGGCATGTGGACTTCAACTCCCAGAATTCCACAGCCAGCATTGCTGGCTGTGGAATTCTGGGAGTTGAAGTCCACATGCCTTAAAATTGTCAAGGTTGAGAAACACTGAGCTATATATACACTACAATTCTGACAAAAGCAACTATTGATTGGTTCTATGAAATAATGTAACATAGTGAAGTATTTTCACTAAATATTATACCTTTAAATCTGTATGTTCTACAATTTTAGCCTTCACAGATAATTAAATACATGATGAAAGATTGCAACACACACACTAAGGAGAAATAAGAACTGTCTTCTTAAAAGAATTAAAATTATCATGAAATCACTTGAGGCTAAAATTTTCTACTTATTATGTCTTTCAATATAATGGCTTACAGCACCTTTCAATCACAATAATCAAGAGAATGAATGCACTTGCAACTGGAGTACCTAACTAACTACTCTGGACCATTAGTAAAGCATCATAATCAATGCATTAACACGACCCATTTAGACAGTTATGACTTCTTTCTGAATCAGGTATAATCTGAAAAAGACATGCCTTTAAAGAAATGTTGCACTCATAAGTATACATGTTCAAATAATGTCTTTCAAATTATTTTTAAAGACAGTTAAGTCTACCTTAATAATGTAATCAGGAATATATAAAATTAAAATAGAACTAAGCAGGCAAGGCTTTTCTAAGATGATCAATTGGACTCTTCAACTGTGAATAGGGTTAATTGGGTGGTGCCTATTTGGATTTCTTTAATATGTATTCATTTTAATAGATTTTTTCCAATAGATAGGACAAAATATAAACTTTTTTTCCTGAAACTGATTTAGCTCTATTTTAATTCTTTGGACAAATACTAAAAAAAAAAAGATAGCAAATTTACACCCCTCATAAGAAATGCACTTACATTCATAGCAGCAATATCATTTTCATATGACTCCCTGATTTTCTTCATTATTTCCTCCTCAGCCTTGGCACATGTGTCAATACTGCCTTTAACTGTAATGGTTCGTTCTGGGTTATATAGTGTCAAGTCCTGCAATCTTCATAGCAGAAAGATGTGAACTGATATGCATGTAATAGCTAATATATAAAGCTGAAACTGAAAATAATTATTTTTCAAACAAACCTAAGTATTTATAATTCTTCAAATAAAATAGTAGACAAAGCTTTAGAATATAGAAATCCTAGATGTACAATAACCCAGGTTCAAGAATGCTTGTCAGCCAATCCATTTTCATGAATGATATAGTCAACTGGAATGCCAGTCATTTAACAAAATGTAGTTCATTAGTTGAGTCATGTCGAGACATGGATTGGTTGAGAAGACAAGCATATAGTATGCAAGAAGCCAGTAGGATGTAGCCTCCCTTTTAATGTCTTCTACCTTCAGAAGATAATGTTCAACAATTAAGTTTCTACTCTTCTAAATCTGATTGTTTAAGTGTATGGGTTGTATTTGTGTATATTAAAAACCACATATTTAACATGTCATCATACTGCTCAGTGTTTAACATTTTTAAGCTATACTATTACTTTTACAGCTGCTATAGGGATAAAAGGCTTCACTGTTCAATTCATGGCTATTGATATAAGCAATTTATTGCAAAATTGAACAAATCCAAAAATGTGTACAATTAAAAAAAATCAAAACATGAGTCTTTTGACAATAAAACGCATTAGGATAAAATTTCTTTTCCTCTTTCACAAATATATGGATCCTAATCTTGTTCCATCTAACATGCAAACACAGACACATACACATATAACAGTTATTAAAACAGACTGAACACAAAATGTATCTTAACTACAACATACTGGCCAATTCAAATGATACTACCTGTTACAACTTTTCTATTTAAAAAAAAAACCTCCCTCACAAAAGTGAGGATCAACAGTTCTCTGTGCTACTGACTTACAAGAGGGAAGAAAACCTATGACTCCCCTGGCTTTCCAGATGCAGACCTTTAAAATGTATAGTTTAAATCAATTCAGCATCCCTGTGGATTTTACCACCGAATACTGGACTTACTGCAGAATGTGTCATGGAGAGTTCCTCCTCCCATGTACTTGGAAGCAAAGCTGATCTTACTAGATTTCCTGCCTCAGGAGGTGGGAGGGAGTTCCCACCCAGTTTGAGAGCTGTAGTCCATTGGGTGCCATAAAAAAAATTAAGAAAACTGCACTGAAGTGTTTTCTTTTATTATCCAACAACTCCAACAAAGAAACATAAGAGGAACAATGCAGAGAAATGGAGAACAAAACAAAAGAATTTTTTTTTTTTTTTTGGATTCTGAGGGGCATAGGGAGCTTGTGATAAAGAAAGATGATCTCTTAATAATTTGCAGTAGCCCTCAAAACTGAGATCGGTGAAAATAGGTTGATCTCCTTTCTTTAAAAAATGTTGGAAAACACTGCCCCTTAACTGATGTATCAGTACCTACTGTTAGAACTTGCTACAAAATTATGTACAACTATGTAAAAAAGACTTGAGAAACATCTGAACACAGTATGGCCTTACATAGATTCCCTAAAGGATGACGCATTGATGTCTCAGACATCCATCCTTTAGACAAGGATGTTTGCAGATTCCTTTAGTTCAAGTTATTCTTCACTGGTGAGTAAAATGCCATTCCTGATCCAATGTTATATTAGATTATTATCAAGGTGTGCAACTTTTCAACTCAAATAGAGCAACAAAATGAAGCCAACACTGACGTAAAACAAAATATATTCCCATCTCACCCCAACAGTTTGGATTCTTGTATAAGCATCCAATCCTTTCTTCTTTCAAATATCAAGACAGAAGCAAGAAAGACAGTTAATACCCAGTAGCACACCATTTAAACATAAAATATGAACAGATGTTTCTGAACAGCTATTTTGTTTTTAGATTACTTACACTTGTAAAACAATGTATCTTTTTGCATCTGTAAAAAAAGCAGATTCCATCTCCCATTCTATGAGCCAATGCAACTATGTCAAGACAAAGGACCAGCCCCAAGCAACTTAAGAATAAAGTGAAGAAGGACTCTATAATTTATGTGAAATCTCAGTAACATAAACTCTAGTAATATATGCAACATAATATGCATTCAGGCAACAGCAATTTTTTGAGACACAATTACACTGGGAAATCTGAAGAATCCCTACTTGGAAACAAAGTACCATTCCCTGTGGGCTACCAGCAACCTCTGACATTCCTTTCCTTGAATTTAAACCATGAATATACTCAGTGAAACAGAGCAACTAGAGAAGCATTTGACCCTCAATCCCGATTCCTTTTCACATTCAAGCTGGAGGCATTCAAGTAGATTTTTGTTGCCTTGGTAGCTGTCTATTTCCTCTACCTAACCCAAACAAGAAATGCAGCATTCCTTCTTTGCCTATTCCCAGTCTGAGAAAAAACTGTTTCACAAACTATTCATTTTCCTGATAGAGAAGAAGTCTTTTAATTGCATGGTAAGCATATCAGGAATGGGGGATGATCCTGTCAAAATCAGATGCAGAACTCTGGGTGGAATGAGCTCTCTTTTTGTGAATGAGTAAAACACATAAGAGATACAATACCTCTATTGATAGTTTTGTATGGTGAGATCATGATAACACTGCAGGCACTTTACTACACATGGGATTATAGCTGAGAAAGCTACACTATATTCTTTCAAACTGGTACCAAATAATTCTCTACTAGTACACTTGCTTGAGCCTAGAAATATACTACACTGGGGGGATAAGACTTCTGAAAAAACAAGATATGAATTTGGAAAATAAAGATGAAATCTCATTCATCAACTCTATTCTGATATGACTCAGAAATTACAAGGCCTTAAAGGTGATTATGAAATTTGAGTCACAGTCAAACTGAGTCAAAGTTCACTAACACTGAAAAAAAACAGCAGCTGTTATTTTCCTTTACATGAGATTTATGTAAGAGAATAGCATCAGCTGCTGTAACTTCATAGTGGTTGATCAAAAAAACACAGTATTGAAATAAAAATATTTAAAGGACAATGAATTATTTTAAAATTGTAAACAATCACAAATATAGATGCATATGACATGGAAAAAATGTTTTGTGAATCAAACAGTTTTGGCTTTGACATTTGGCCAGTTCATTCATTCAACACTCTTTGAGTCTGGGCTTCAGCTAAGACAAATTTTGGTACAGGGAGTAAGACAAGGCCTTGTCCCTCTTTCCACCTAATCTTCCTCAACATAGTCTATGCACCAGCCCACACTGTTAATTTTTCTAACTCCTTCCTTCTCCCTAGCCACCAACATGCTTTAATTAAAATGTGGTGTACCTAACAGACTTATCTGCTCTTTTCTCATTTTACTTTTCTTCTCCTTAACTACCAATATAAGCCACTCCTGAGCTTGCCTTTTCTGTCCTCTTATTTCTGGACACTCAAACTGGCTGTTCCAAGGCTTGAATGTTTTACACAGCCTAAATTAAAAAGCTGTTTGAAACCTGAGCCTTATTTGCCTTAAGAAAAACCTAATGATTAAGGAGCAGCTGAGTCTCAGACTCAATGTCACAAACATTTGGGGGAAGCAGTGAAGATTCGCCAAGGGCCCTACTGTGCAGCTATCAAGTGGAACAGAGTAGTAAAGCAGTTTGTGCAACACAGCTCTTATGAAGCCCATCTTTCCGTGCTTCCCCCTTTCAGCACACATATGGGGTTAGGGATAACTCCATTCTTTCACTGATTCCCTCCTGTCCAAATACACCATCTCCATCTAAGGTCTGCCAAAAAGGAAACATTCCCTTGCCTCACTGTCTCTCTCCTGCCCCAAAGTCACTTCAGTGCTTGCTGAGCCTTTTCTCCCTTCCACCTACCAATTACAACTCCTATTCTCCACTCATCCACCTAAAAAAGAAAGGCCTATGAAACAATTTCTTTGGGCAATGCCCCTCCCCTTCGCTGAATATGTTGTATGCTGAGTGCACTTGAGGCTGCTGACAGATTGATTTTGATATGCATTCCCCATTGTGTGTGCACTTGCTTACTCTCTTCTAATCCATTTCTCTCCAAATAATATAAATATAAGCATTAATTCTCTTCTTGTAAATTATCTGTGGAGGTAATCATTCTAAAGGACAGGAGAATAATTAGGAAGCAAACAAAAGCTAAAGATGTGAAACTAAGTACTCTTGTCATTTTCAAGAAAGTAAATGTGGTCATGTGATCTCTCACTTAGCAACTGGTTCACTTAGTGACAGAGTTGCCAATTCCAACTGTAGTTGCTAAATGAGGCAACTTATACCTTTATCTCCAATAATCAGCTCAGAGCAGGTATGTTATCCATTTTTTCCTTTGAACCTGTATGTGTTTTGTCTGCTTTTCTTTCTTCCAAAAGGTCCATGTTACAAGAAACAGGGTCAATAATATGCAAGTACAATAGTGGCTTTGCCAGTTTTATCACTACCATGCAAAACTCAAAAGTGATCTATTCCATTACATTCACTTCTGATTTTTCTATCACCATCACACTAGGTAACTTTTCAGTCATTTCATTTCCCACAGTTCCATGGAAAATAAGGAACTGCTTGGAATCAGAATCTAGGAAAAGGCCTTACTGGAGAAACTTCATCCAGCACATTTTTTTTCTTCTCTAGGCTACAGAAACTGGCTAGGTACTCGATGGAACTTTCTGCCAGGTGGCCAGGAAAATCTTCAAGTGCTTTCTGGAATTCTTCTGAATCCATTTGCAGTAGACTATTTTAAAGGGCCTGACTTCCATGCAAAAGTTCTGATCTTTTCATCTGCAATCTGATAAGGAAGTGATCTGACCACAATAAAACACAGATGTCAATGTCCTTCAGATAACATCTCATCTGCTCTGAAGTAAAGACCAACTCCATTGTGTCTTGCCATGTGTTGCAGGGATGGAATTACCTGCAATAAACTCCATGATCCCTATGGAGGCTATGAATTCACAAGAGCCTTCCTCAGAACATGGAAGTTGAAGTAACCCAAGATTAAAAGCTTTAGAAACTCCAAACTAGTGCAAAAAACTTCCATATTAAAAAAGTAGTAATGAAAAATATGAAACTTGATAATATACAAATGAGTATATCATGAAATTCTAGTCAAATTTAGTGGCAATAGTATGCACTGCATTGGAAACATTAATATCTCTTGGGAATTCTGTAACATTTTTCAAATGCAATATATTGAACTGCATACCTGAGAAACTAACATGTATGTCATAATCTTTATTTGCATTTATGTGCATAAAAATAAGTTTATGGTGTAACAAATGACATTTCTATGCAAGGAAAATATATTGATTATCGCATAGACATAAACGAATCAAATTAGCAACTCTGTGAATGCAGTTAATATTTTTTTCCTAAAACCCTGCTGGCAACTAGTAGTTCTAACAAGTATATCAAAATTGACTTGTTAATTCCTTCCTTAAAACACTAAATACTTACGGAGATATTGTGATTTTAGTGTCAGTATCCTGTTCAATTTTTTTCAAATTCCGTCCCTCTTTACCAATGAGTCGGCCAACAAAATTATTATGTGCCAGTATCTTCAAGGGAATGTCGTCTGTGCTGTAAACATTCCAGACATGTGTATAAATGAAAGTCACATAATTTATCAACCACAAATTAAGAAGCAGAGTCGTTTTTCCATGATCAAGTTTGTAAAGTTTATTATATAAGCAAGAAATTCTCAAACTATCTAGGAAAATTAAATTTCCTCAAGAATAAAAGTTGAAGCTTTAAACCCATCATTTCCAAATTGCTTTGAATATATTTACCTTTATATTATCTATATCATTCACGTGACGTGTTACGACATATCATGACTTTTTTTCCACTACCAGCAATGGGGTGGGTGCAGTTTCACCATGACGCATCTGGCCCATGGGCCAGCAGTTTAACACCCCTATCTATATGATCATTAAGAACACAATTGTTGTGTTCTTTTGTCTATTTTTTCAATATATATGGACAGGATTAAGATGTAATATTCCTTTGTATATGTTTGCCATACTTAAGTATTTGAGATAGATAGATAGATAGATAGATAGATAGATAGACAGACAGACAGACAGACAGACAGACAGACAGACAGACAGACAGACAGATAGATAGAGGTAGGCAGGCAGGCAGGCAGACAAAAACATTTTTACTCACAATTTAGTGTCTTGAGCTTCCTTTTGCATTATTTCCATGATAATTTTACAAGCAGTTGAGCATCCTTCTGGAGTAGAATGGATTGTGATTGGTTTTTCAGCAGCTCCTGCATTTTCTTTACGATGAATATCAATCCTGAAAAGAGGAAAAAAATCTCAAAATGTTTGTGACTTTCAAAATCTGAGTCCTATGAAAATAAACCAATAGAACCAAATTCAAATGTCATAACTGTCAGATTATAAGTATGCATTCTCATTAATATTGTGATACATTCAATTCAATCCATTTGGTCTTGTTGCTTAACCTCATTTAGTTTGCATCTGCCCTAAGATGAATGTGCATACAGAAGATGTTTCTCATCAAAAAGCTCCTTTGAGGGATTAAACCAAGTCCTCAGACAGTAATTTGTATATATTTTAATCCAATCAAATTTTAGACAAAGTCTCTCTGAAAATAAGCTTGGTTCCATGGAAATGATTTGTCACTATTGTATTCTGGGATTTTTTTTCCAGCTTCCCTATCTGAAAGCCCTGTAACTTTCAACTGACCTATTATACTTACCTTTTTAAAGATCAGCCACAATAACTCATATTCACCCATTATTTAATATATACAGAATAACAATGACTTCTATATTTTCCCTCTCTTTGGACTTGCAAAATTTCAAATTCTTTTCTCTCCTTGTAGTGCTAACATAGAAAATCAAGCCTTGATCAACTGCTTGCCATCCATCTGAATACTTGTAGTACTCCAATTCTAGAACTACATTAATTCAGGGTCGCTTTCAGACCTATAATTCTGTGTGACTGAAGAACACATTTTGGTTCAGTGAGGAACAGGATGTTATGCTTGGCTTTTAAACAATCTTAAAAATTCACTCAAAAATGGATGTCAAAATAATCAATAAAGTGCAAAAACCTACAATCAGTGAATACAGCTAGAAAAACAGGCTTCAGTTTTATTTGCTTCAACAAGGACAATACAGGAATAGTACAATGAAATGCAAAGTCTTCATTGGACATTGTTCAATGCAAAAATACTACCTCTCCATATTGGCCTTATTCAGATTCCATTCTGCCAGATTATAATTTTGGTAACTGGAAACATTTTACAGACATCCATGCTTCTCTTATTCATACAAAATGCATCTCTTCCATTCTTAATTCACAAATTGACTATTCTTTCAGTGTTCTACCTGAACTTGGTTTCAACTTACAGAAGTCTATTTTTTATTTTTAAAAAAAATCTTTCTTAAAAGAAGTGAAAGTATATATTAAAATATCATACTGAATGCAGTTTTAAAAAATGTTTCAAAAACCCTACCTCAATTAAGTTTATTAAACTTCATATAGTGACTTACTTTGACTGTGTCTGCTTTGTGATGTTTCTGATTGTGGCCCCTTCTTTTCCAATAATAGCTCCTACGAACTGGGTTGGAACAAGTATCCGTAATGGGACATCAGATTGTGGTTTCTGTCTTGTTGCTGCACCTGGTGAACCTTGTCTAGGGGGACCTCTCTGCCCAAATCCACGTCTACCTTGAGGATGCTGCTGAGGTGGTGGTTGGGCTGCCATTTCATCAGGGATATATGCAACTTTTAATGAATAGTTTTCAAGCTGGAATCCGTTCAATTTTTCTATTGCTCTGTATAAGTTTACAAAGAAAGTAAGTTGTTGCAGATGAAGCAGCAGAACAGCCAATCAATTATGGTATAGCATTTCATTGGGAATGGTAAGCTGTCCCATCTGGCTCATGAGGTCATAAATAACCCTTCTCTTTATGCCTAAAATATTATCTCCTTCCTTCCTCATGGGGAAACACCTTAAGATGACTCGAAAGCAGCATTAATAGCAACTTGAAGCAGAATTTCTCTGAAGTTCTGCTTTTTTCTTATTTCCTTAGGGCAAAAAGTACTTTAGAAGCCAGCATCTGAAAGTGTTCCCAGTTCTAAAGTGTTTTGTTTGTTGGCTTTTGAAGAGCCACATTTAACTCCTTTCTCTTTATAGATAGGCAGAAATTGCCCAAAAAAAGAGCCCTCTGGCAAATGAAGATGTGATTGGCTGGAAACTTAAAACTGCTTATCATTGGCAGATGACAACATGATAAGAGGAAGGACTCTTGTCCTAATTTATGACACTACAAGTAGAAGGAAAAGAACTGGACTTTGGTCTGGATCCCATTCTCCAGCATGTTCAAGAAATTCAAATTCCAAGTATAGGTAATAACTTCCTATTTAATGATCATTTTAATTTACAACAGAGCTTAAAAAACAGGTTTACAATTGGTGCACATTTGTAACATCTGAAGTATCCCCACAATCATATATGATCAACATTTGTGACTTTCACAGCTGGCTTCCAACAAGCAAAGTCAATGGGGAAGCCAGAAGTAACTCACAAGTTGTGGTTATGTGATCCTGCTTAACAATCTTGGGTAATATACTTAACAACTACAGAACTCACGTTGTAAGTTGGACAAGATCATCTTTCACATAGAAACAACACTTAACAGCAGAGTTGCCAATCCCAATTATTATTAAAAGATAATTATCTTTTGATAATTTGAATTGCCATTCTTTCATCTTCCTTTCTGCTTTTTCCTTCATATTATATGACTCTTCAGACCCCAAATCTGAAGGTAAGGTTTTATTGTCTGCTCTCAAGTAAAGACTTTGCCTTTTAAAACTACAAACTACAAATCCTGCATGAATAGGAAGGGAAAGATTTTTTTTCCTCCTGCTCTGCCTTCCCCAAATAACCAAGTTTTAGAAAAACCTATATACAATTAAAATATCTAATCCAACATCTGTCAACTTAAAACATGAATTTCTCATTGAATTCCCCATTTATATTATCAGGGATCTATTTAAACCATTTGTCTTCCTAACAGAACAATTCCTGTTTCCTCCATTACTCATTTTTGAATCAGTATAGCAATATATTATAACGTTAATCCCTCACTCATACCAAACTCACCTCAGATGAGAGGATTAAATACAGCAGTGAAAGCATCCTTATTTTCTTTCTTTTGAAGGGCAAACAGCCAATCTGACTTGGCAAACTTGCTCTTTCTCCCCTTTTCTACTTACATGCAGCTGTTCATGAACTGCACCTGGCAGCCTGGAGGCAAGTGTTACTCACTTAGGCAAATATCTAATTACAATAATGTATAAATTAATTGAAATTATCAATTGGTTAGTACTGACCAATTTGTAACATTTAAAAAAAAAATGTCACAGTATACTTGAAACCTAATTTAACCAAACAACTAGTTCACCTTTTCTTATATGAAAAGTGAATTTAGGAAAATAGTTGTGACTTTAAAATCATAGCAAAGTAGTATACTACAAAAAATTCATTAAATATCTATGAATATTTTATTCATTATTAAAGTTTTAATCCACATGCATGTGTATGCACCCACATATATATTTCCCAGAGACTAAATAGAAGAGGATGGAACCCAATGTGAACAGCAGCTTACTTCAAAACTGCATCCTTGTGAGGGACGTGTACTGAAAGCAAGGTCTACTAAAGCAGGGGTCCCCCAACTCCCAGTCCGTAGACCAGCACTGGTTTGCAGCATGCCAGCAACTGAACTGTGCAAACAAGAGAAGCCCTATCCGTGGGATGCAGGTAGCATGCAAAATCACATCTCCTCCTACCCGCAGAAAAACCTTTTTCCATGGAACCATTAACTGGTGCCCAAAAGGTGGCGGGCCACTGTATTAAATCTTTCAACAGGTAAACTGTTCCTTGTAGGGAAATGATCTACGTTGTTCAGTCAACTCTTACCACACCCAATTCTAGGAACCTTACTTCTATAAAGGCTCTTTGAAAATTGTCAATTGTCAATTGCATTAAATGGTTGAGAAAAAGCAAGTGTAAAGAACCATATAGAAAAAAAAATAAGCTATTAATTTCAGTTAGCCACTAGGTGGCACAGAATTCCATTTTAATATTTTCATTGTATTGTGGAGTGACACTAGATTTACCAAGCAAATGTAGATATCAAAATATTACAAGTAATAAAATTGGTGAAAAAAAATATCCAAGTAGTAAAAGTGCATATATGTGTAGTAGCTATTTTACACATCTCCATTTGTAATTTTATGGTATTCTTTGATGCATCGTTGAGTCAATAATACATTTTTTTAAAAGTTAATGTATCCTTTCTGCAACTGTTTATCGCCAGTAATACTCTTATATTATAAAGGCTATACAGTTAGTCCTTGATTTATAACCAGTCACTTAGTGTTTAATAAAAAGGAGACTTTGCGGATATTCTCAATCATCCAGGTCATGGTTCTCCCAAAGCATCCAAAAAGCATCTGGACATTCCTAGTGCTTTGAAAATGTTTCTCTTCTCAATTGAAGAAGCTTCTTCAATTCAGAAATAGGGGGAATTACAACCTGGATCTAAAGTTCCAGCAGCTTTTCCCCCCACCCAGTATTCACATAACCGCACTCTGGATACTCAGCAACATGACTACATTTATGTTCAGTTGCAGCATTCCAAAGTCATGTGATTGGGTTTTTATTTCAGCCATAACTTCAAGCAGGGATCATGTCCCTTTGTTCAGTACTGCCATAATTTCAAACAGTCACTGAACAAGCACTAGTAAGTTGGGGACTATCTGTATACAATAAAATGTGATTCCTCACATGTATACGGCACTATGATTTTAAGAAAGTACTCTTGACTTAGCAAAAATAGGGCAGGGCATGTAGACAGATCAAACTTTTACTGGTGCCTACTACTGCAGAATTTGCTTTTACTAGAGTGATAGACAATTCTGAACTGTGGTCATTTTATACAAGACTGTACAACCTGCTATACCAAGTAGAAGTCCAATTCCTCTGTTAATGTGTGGTAGGATATTTTAAAATATAAATTCCACCAAATTTTCAATAAATCATTGCAGACATAAAATAGCAAACCCGCTGATAAAGGATGTATGATTTTGCAACTTCTACATCTTTCCAGTATGTTGATATTTCTGCATTTATTTTTATGTTTGATTTTACAATGTTTTAAATTTTATGTCACACTGAGTCTTTTTTAGTCTAATAAATTGTCAGTGACTACTCAGATGAAGGTTTCACTGCTTCCAATTCTGCAGTCTTGAAATACTTAACTAAAAACTGAAAAAATCTTGCATCTAAAAATAATAATAAAGTACAGTAAACACAGGGGTAAATAGGGGTAAAACTGGAATGTGTATGGGTGTATGGGAGGTATATTATAGAAACCAGAAGAAATACCTCAGTTTCAGATAAATGCCAACACCTTTCAATCCCTTTAAGACATTATAATCTTCCCAAAGTTTGGCTTTTCTTACTATTAAAAAGAAATTAAATGAGTGTTCCAGATTCAAATCCTTCTATAGTTGTCTTCAATCTGGGCATTTTTCACTTGTACAGATCAACTCTTCTCAAGAGGACATCTGGTCAGAGACTTCAGGAAACTGAATATACCAATTAATGAGGGAACTGTTTAATGTTAAATCACCTTACTCCCTTATAAAAATTTACAAGTGCAATTCTACAGTGCAACTAGATATGTTCCTATTCAAAACGTAATCCAACTAAGCTCAACATGCAGGCTAACATATAAGCAGTTGGATGAAGAGTGTAACCTTAGTATTTTGATTTTAAAAAGTAAATATAAATAAAAGACAAATAAGAGACTGTATCAAATGTTAATACATAAGAGAAAAACTATTTTAAAGGTAGGAAAAAAACTAAAAATAAATAAATGAGGACTTACTGCCTGGCCTGGTCCTTATTGGCGTATGTTACATTTACTACTGCAGTCTCTGTGTCAGTATTCACTAGAACAAAAAAGGATGTATCGAAAAAAATAAATTAAAACTTCCTTTGATCATTTCATTTAAACAAACTATTTGAATATTACACCACCTTGCTCACAGTTTTCCACAGTTCCATACTGTGCCAGCAAACCATCCAGGACCTATTAAAAAGAAACAAAGTACAATGTAAACTTTACACAAGTTATACAAATTTATATAACAATCTTTCAGCATAATATATAAAAAAGTAAAACAAAAATCCCAAGTATGTTTATGTCTTACAAAGTTAGTGACATAGGTTTTTCCAAAGTTTCATAATCTTTATTTCTGAATGTGAAACTCCACACTCAATTTGATCCCTAGGAATTAAATAAATCTGTTAATAACAAATTGTATGGAGTTACTTGTGAGTAGATAAATATATAGAATTAGATTATATCTGTAACAGTTCATCATACTTTTGTTTCAAATATATACTGGATAAAACTTTACCCTATTCAAGATTTAAACAAAGTTAAAGAGATTTCAAGATGTCAGAGTAAACTGTAATATGTTACATACAACTGAACAATTACCATTAAAGTTACATTTCTTCATTGCAAAATCACCACAGGAGAAAGTAGGCTTGAGACTTATATCAGCACATATTGAAACAGACTTTATAATTACTATAATTTTCCTCAAAATCAAAATAAAACCATGCTTATTTAGCAAAATGGTTGACTCAGATAAATGCAGTATTAAAATATTTCAGCTGCTCTTATTGTAGTTAAAAAATTACAAATAGATTTTAAAAAATAGATGTAGAGGTATTCACAATAAATTATAATATTTACGGGAATGTTTATTGTAAAGGAACCTGAATTGAGTTAATGTGCTTAAAGGAAGAGGGGGGAAAGCAACAAACAAGTGATTATTTTTTTAACTTCAATAGACTGAAAAATTTCTTGCATATTCTGGAATGTAACCTTTCAAGTTAGACAGCACTTAATCAGTAGTTATATTAATTATTTTACAATAGCTAGCAATTTTATTATGACTTAAATACTTCACAGAGATAGAGATAGAAATGTTCTCTGCGGCAAGATTATGTTCTCTTCATTCATTTTAAATAAGAATTCACCCTGCTCCCTTTTACAAGTGTAACCTAGTCTGATTAAGAAACAAATAAGGTTTATGTAGAAGGAAACCACTTGAAGGGACTTTACTGGATATATTTATCCCAACAAACTTTTTTTAACCTATTGAAAGCATATTTCCTGATGCCTGGAAGCTGATTACTAAAACATGAAATATAATAAACATACTTTTAAGCTAAATTATTTTTTGAGCAGAGGAAATGAAAAATCATATGCCTACTGGTTAGTGAGTTTTGTAACCCATTCCTTCTAAGGAAGAAAACAGTTGGTTAGATGAACACTTAATTCATATCTAGAACAAACACCCAAAGTCAATGGGATGCAAATTTAAACCTGTATCCAACTATTATTTTTGAATCAGTTTTACCACAAGAAAATACACCTTCCTTTTAATATTAATCTTTGTCTAATGTTGGCTTACTCCATCATGATTCTTATATTCTCTCTTTGTGGGGGAAAAAGAAACTGAATGCAATGAGTTTATAAATAGACATACTTTTCATCAGTAAATATGAAAATAATTTCCAATATAAGCAGCGTTCTATAAAGGCAAAATCAGTATAAATTGAACGCAAAAACAAAATAAAGAAAAATAACCAAGGAGTTTATACTCAAACCATAACCATTGTAGTTCTGACCTCACATCTAATAATAATTTCACTTTTTAAATCAATATACATGAATGAATCCAAGAAAAGCATGAGAAACATTTGCATTTATATGCGATCTTTCTTACTTACCAGGCTTTTCTTACATTTTTATAACTACTCCCAATTGCTTTTTGATTTTATCAAGTGATAAAAGTAAAATGTGATTTTATCACATTTTACTTTTATTCATAAACAATCAAATCCTTTAGTTTTACTCTAAAAACAAACCAATTCTTTCTAAATTGTTCATCTGCCTCTCAATCTTCACCTGTAGCCTTATTGGGCAATAACAGAATTTCTAGCCAAGCTAGTAGTGAGATAGCAATCTTGATGAACAACTGAACAGAAAAATTTGTTTGTATGAATATTTACTCTAGTTAGAAAATAATGTATTCCTTTTTTATGTAGGAACTCTCGCCCTTGTCTAATTGGGGTCTCTTCCTCCTGTTATAACACAGATGCCTTTCTTGCACACAAAAAGCTGCAGTTTTTATACTATAGGCTTTCATTCATCAGACACTAAAAGCCAAGTCATACAGTATACAGTATTATAAACAGTGTTACCCTATATACCCACTCAAAAGCTACAATAATCTTTAACAAAAAGCCACCTAAGCAAATACTATATTAATATTTCTAAGCACTTAAATCAAACATATAGTTCTGTGAAAATAAAACAGCCCTTTTGGATTTCCTCAGTTTTTGAGTATCTTTGCTATTGTGTGTTCTTCATGTGAGTTCTACATAAAGAAAATGAATGAACAAATAACACCAATGTTTTATTTATTTTATAAGCAAGTAATTTAACATGCTATATGCCCATATTAAAAAAGATCACCCTTAGGATTCAAGAACTAGTTGCACTATCTTTTGCTTTTTTCCCCAGTAACTGCAATCAAATGTTTCCTTGTAGTCAGAGGCTAGCTTCTCATGTAGCTGTTTAAGAATTTGCGACCCCAATTTGTTTAACTGTGTTCCCTTTATCTACTTTCAGAACTTATGTGGAGGATAGATGTTTGAGGTCACATTTATGCAAAAACATTGAAAATTCACAAACTTTTAAGCAGCCCGTACAAAATTTGTCTATACTGATTACTAGCATCATACAAATTATGCTATATGAATGAATTAGACTATAAACATCATGAAGTTGGAAGCATTCCTGCCCCAGAGCTAATTGCCTCAATGTAGGCAATTGGGCATTCAGGATCAAATTGGGCAATCTTGAAATTCTGTCCAGTAAACAAATCATAAGCATACAAACTTGGTTGCTCTTTATGATCCCCGATTTGTTCAACACACCATATTTAAAGTATATTATGTACAAATCATGATATATGGTTTATTTATTTCAAATCTGTAAGGTTTAATAGAGATTTTAATTCTTAGTATTACAGCCAATTATTTAAATCATGGGTATATGTGTATGGAATCTATATACACAACCTCTTACAATTTCATGCATTTTAAAAGTAGTTTGTCAGTAACAAATCATATTTCTGCATGCAAGCTTTAGCTGAGACACCAGCTTTCGTTACTTACTTGCCTATATTTAATTAATCTATATGTACACTAGCTTTACTTTATGAACTTTCTTTCATCTCAATTTAATTCATTTCCCATTATATCAAACTACTTTTATCTTTCTTTCTATAAGAATGCTTTCATGACAAGTGCTCCAATGTGTTACCACCATTATATAAAAATTTCTATTTTTTCCCCAGACACAACCAAGATATCATTTGATTATTACACTAGTGTACAGTCTCTCTAAAATGGGGGAAAGTGGTGAATAGTAGAGATAAGTACTATTTTTGATAAATAAAAAAATATTCAAAGACTTCTACAGCTCTTCAACATCCAAAACTTATCAAATAAATTATTCAGGCAAACAAATATAAATTTTACAAATTATATCTGGAAGAGGCACAAGTAAAAAGGAATCCTCATATTCTTGGGATAATTGCTATCTTGATTTTATAAAATCTCTAGCCAGCATGGTGCTTTGAAAATATTTAGAGACAGAAGATTAATTATACAAGTTCCATCACAATGTTCATGTTTCTAAAGATCATGAAAGCACTAATGAGCCTTTAAAGTGGGAATAAATGAAAAGGTTACTATTCACTTAGAATTGTACTTTAGAACTCTGAAAACATTTAACTCCAATTGCCCTCCATTTAACTTCAATTGTCCAATAGGGGGCAGTATAAATAAGTATTTGGATGCTTCTGCTCTTCAAAGATGCAAATTAACAACTCAAGAACAAAAAACTGTTCTTGTCAAATTCTCTGTATGCTAACAGTTAGAAGAGGAAAAAGTGACAGAACAAAAGGCACGATGGTAGGCAAAAGGCATACCATCAATTTATCCTCTTAAACAGGTTGAAAATTTAAAAATGAATGCCTACCTCCCACTGCAAGTGTGGCGGAATATTTCGGATTTGAAGTTTTCGACTCCTAGTGATAGAAGTTGGGGGAGGGGGAGAGAGAAGGATTGTTATTTAGTTATTAAGTTAAAGCACTACTGAACATTTCTAACAATATATGGGGAAAATCTTATGACAGAAAATATGTCTTACTTCAAGCTTTTTAAAAAATAACCAACAGAATGGACTGTATTTTAAGATATTGCTTTTCATGTTTAATGATGTACTGATACTGAATTTTTGATACTAGAAATGCATTTCTTTCAATATCACCTCCCCACGCATCTTGTGATTCTGCTTTTTATACTTATAAAAATTTATTGATTTATTTAGAGAGTATGTATGGCTGCCCACTTATTTTCAGTGACTCTGGTCACTTACAAACAATAATTTGTATGTTATTGCCAAGGTTCAAGTTCCCAAAATGGCACCAATTTAATTAGCACTTAAATTTCTAAGACTATGTCTCAGATTTTGATTGGCTATTACATTCTCATCTGTTTTTAAATACACATCCAGATATGAAAGCTTTTTATCTCCAACAGTACAGTAAGATCTTGCTTTTTTTTTACACATCTCATAGCTGCTTTTGCCAAAAATGAAATTATTTACACGCAAACAAATTCATGTACCACATAACCTCTAGGACCTACCAGAACATGGAATCGTGTATAGCAACACCCAAGAAATAAATGCATTTTAAGTCATATATAACTATACATAAAATATATATACTGCATGTAATAGATATCAATGCTTTGAAACACAAAAAAATGGAAAAAATTATTTTGAAATTTAGTTAGGTATATATTCCATTACATATTATATCTATTACATAAAACCCAGTAAGAAACACCCCTAAATAAATTTTTAGATGCTATGTCCAGTATTAAATTGTGTGCTTACAACACTTATCTTTCCTAGTCTAATCGTTTCATTCTTCTTCTTCTTATATATCTGAGATATATAAAGCAGCAATGCTGAAGATGGTTCTAATTTGTCACATTTTAACTATACCCAATTTACTGGGCTCCAAACACAAAAGAGCCAACAACAAACAAATCCCTAGACAATATACACAAACAAGCATTCATAGCTATTACTCACCACTACTCCATTCTTTCTCATGCTACTCCTACAACTCCAACTACCACCCATGTGAGTTTGGCTGTTCCTGGTGAGCATCATTAGACAAAATTATTGTCGTAAGTTCTTTTAACTATATCCAATTTACTGAGCTCCAAACATAAAAAGGCCAACAAAGCAAGCTCCTAACAAACACACCTAAACAAGCATTCACAGCTATGGGTCACTACTTAATACTACTCCATTCTTCCTCACTGTTATTACTGCTCCTACAACTCATTACTATCCCTTGTGAGTTCTGCTTCACCTAGTGAGTATTCCAGAGAAAATTATCTCCTTCTAGGTGCTTCAGACTGCTTTACTTAAACATACCTTCTTACTGTCTCCCACACACCACAACCAGCTGTCTCTGAACACAGCTTTTATAGTCAAGGTTGCAGTGCTGGCCAAGGAAAGAGCTTAAAGAGACAGGACAACAGCAGCACAGGTGCTTGCTCTTTTCTGGGCAGTCTGCTTTCTCACATAAATGTGAGAAAAAGCATCAACATTGCAAGACAAAAATAAATTAAGAAATTCCAGCTAACTACATTAATTGCATAGAATTTTTAAGTTTTTACAACAGCTTGACTTACATTAAGAGTTCTTCTGAAAACAATCAACCAACCAACCAACCCAGTATTTGTTTGAGATTCTGTTCTATCTATTCTGGAATATAAAAAGCAATATAATTAAATTTATGTACATCTAGATTAGAAATAATGTAGAGTAGGAGGAGTAGAGTAGAATAGAATAGAAATAGAATTGCTTTATTGGCCAAGTGTAATTAGACACAAAAGGAATGTCTCCGGTGTGAAAGGCCTAGGTGTACATGCAAAGCAACAGAGTAATAATAACCATAATAATGATACCAATAGAGAAGATGGAAAGTATAATAATACTATAGCTATATAATATAGGTAAATATATTTAGACATAAGACAGGACTATGAGAATTAGGAGTTCAGCAAAGTGATGGCACAAGAGAAAACTAAAACAATGCTCTTAATATATATAAAAGTTATTTAGCTCTTTTATATAGGGCAGGCAGACCAATCCTAATATTTTCTTGATTGCTCTCTCTTTCCTAAATTTCTTCCTATAGGTTAGCTGATGGCAGATAGTCCAGAAGGAAAGATAAAATAATTGCTATTGGTACAGTCCTGGGGATCTGTCAATTCTCATTTGACTTAAAAACAATTTATAGCCTGGAAATAAAAAAACTGTTATTTTCCTTGATGGTCATTTTTAAAGCAAAAAAACAAAAACAAAAAGCACTTCAGAGAACTTCATTAATCTCTAGAAAGCTTCTTGATATTAAGTATTTGCAATGTTTACATTAATTTCTAGAGCAGCTTCATTAGTCTGTAACCATTTAAAAGTCTTATATGATCTCCAAAGTAGTTCCATATAACTAGACATACTTTGTCATCAAAGCACTATGCATTTCTGAAACAGTACTTCTACAATCTGCAGCCCGGTTTAAGTGATTTATTGTTTGTGAGTTTGATGTTTTCTTTTTATATAAGTACCCTTGGATTTTGCAATATTGTTCCTCTAAATAGGTATTTGAAGAAAGATACAAAGATACAAATACTCAGCTGGTTCACCAAAGTTAGTTGTTACCTCCAAGAAAAAAATGCAGACACTGGACTTCCAAAAGAATTTTTTTTTATAGAACTGAAGGATAAATATTCTTCTATAAATAGTATAAAGCCGGGGTTCACGCCCCTCAGGCCATGAACAGGCAACTGAGCAAAATTTAATCTGCACATGCACAGAATCTAGATTGTGTACAGAGCCCCGCCTCCCCCCCCCCCGGCCTATGGAAGAATCATCTTCCATGAAACCAGTCTCTGGTATCAGAAAGGTTGAGGACCGCTGCTATAAAAAACGGCGTTGTCTTACCTGAACGCTTTTTCTCAGCAGGATGGTGTAGAATCCATTAATTGGGTAATCTAAGCCTTCCTGCTCAGACTAAGACAAAAAAACTTTGCCACATCTCCTTCTGGGTGTGCCTTCCCCAGGTTTGTCGAGGCGAAGCATCCAGACGCAAGGCTCCAAACAAAAATAAAAGACACATGCCTAGACTAATGACAACAGGGTGGATGTGGATTCTATACCATCCTGCTGAGAAAAAGCGTTCAGGTAAGACAACGCCCTTTTCTTCAGCAGGATGGGTGTAGAATCCACTGATTGGGACATACCAAAGCTGCTCATGTCCCTGTAGGGAGGGAAGTCTAGGCTTGTGTCCCCTGAGAAGTAACTACCTGCTGTAGGACTCGCCTACCAAAGGCAGCCTCCGCCGCTGCAAATTGATCTATCCTATAATGTTTAATGAAGGAAGAGGGAGAGGACCACATCGCTGCCCTACAAATCTTGAGTGATGCCTAGGTAGACCAGGCTGCTGAGGCTGCCGCACTGCGCGTAGAGTGAGCAGTGATGTAGAAGGGACTGAGAAATGTAAGCCCTGGAAATACAAGCCCTAATCCACCGACCAATAGTGGAAGAAGAGACCTTCCTATCCATGGCAGCGGGCTGAAAAGACACGAATAAGGCCTCTGACTTCCTGAAGGCCGAGGTTTGTTTAATGTATGCCACCATCTTTCCAGACAATGTGACGGGTTAGGACAGAAGTTAGGAAGGACTAGGTCCTGGGAACAATGGAAACCTGTATTGACCTTTGAAATGAATGCGGGATCCAACCTGAGGACTACTCTGTCCTCATGGAATGTGCATAGGTCCTCCCAGGCCGACAAAGCGGCCAATTCTGAAATTCTCCTGGCCGACGTAATGGCCACTAGGAAGGCCACCTTCAAGGTAAGAAATTGAAGGGAACGAGTGCTCAGAGGTTCAAATGGAGGAGAAGTTAATGCCTGCAATACCTTGGAAAGGTCCCAGGATGGATAATGATGAACCGTTGGTGGCCCGGAGTTGGCCCCGCCCTTGAGAAAGGCACTAACTGCTGGATGTTGAGACAGGGAAACTTGGTTGTCACAGGTGAGAACCGTCGACAAGGCTGCTATCTGCCTGCATATAGTGTTGGTTGACAGACCTCTATTTAACCCTTCAAGTAAATAATCTAATATGTCTGGGATGGTGATAGTAAGCTGCGAGAGCCGCTTCTTGGTACACCAAGAACAGAAGTTTCTCCAAGTGGCGTCGTAGATCCTATTGGTCGAGGGACGCTGTGAGGCCTAGATCACTGAGATAACCCCGGAGGAGGAGGATTGTCTAGTTAGACTCTCCCGCTCAAGTGCTAAACGGCTAGTTGGAGCCACTGTGGATCCGGGTGTTGGAGGTTTCCCTGGCTGAGAGCTACTCGGTCCAGGAGGATCCTCCACGGTGGCAAAAGCGACAGATCCACTAGGTCAGGAAACCACGGCGTCTTGGCCAGTATGGAGCAACTAAGATTAGCTCCGCCTGTTCATGGAGAAGCTTGCGAATAGTCGCCTATAGTAACGGCAGAGGAAGGAAGGCATAAAGTACGCCCTCCGGCCATCTGCTTCAGAGGGCGTCCGTTCCCTCCGCCCCTCTTGCCGGGAATCTGGAAAAGAACCTGGGGAGCTGTGTGTTGCTCGGGGAGGCGAAGAAATCTAGGATGGGATAGCCAAACCTGTGCAATATTTCTCTGAACAGGGTTGAGTCCAGTTTCCACTCTGAGTGATCCACTGTGGCCCTGCTCAGGGAATCTGCCTGTTGATTTGCCTCTCCCAAGATGCGTTCCGCTCTGATTGATCTCAGAGTGGACTCTACCCAAAGGCCTATGGCCAGAGCTTCCTGCATGAATGACCAAGAGTGGGTCCCCCCTTGTTTGTTTACGTGAGCCTTGGCCGCAATATTGTCTGTCAGGATCAACACGTTTCCCTGAGAGGGAGAACCTTTGGAGAGCCAAGTGGATGGCTCTGA